GGGCAGGGACCCAAAAAGGAGACAGGATGGAAGGGGTATGCCAGGAAGGGGCATCTGTAGATGGGCTCTGGGTTACCTGTGGGCAATTCGGACCCCTAACTACCTCTGCCTAGCCCAGGAGGGGGCTGTGAGCTGTGGGCTGACAGGGAGCTGCTGGGGGAGTTTCCTTGGCCCCCCTCAGCACAACCGGACCCTTCTACTACCCCCCTCCTGACTCCTGGAGCACCTCTGATCCTGATACCCCACTCCCGGCCTGGTCCCCACAGCCAGCAACCAGCCCAGAGCAGACCCAGCCGCCCCAAGGACCCGAGTCACCACCCTATATGCACCCCAGGAGCAAAGAAGTAGCAGTGGTGCAGGAGGAGCAGGGAGGAGAAAGGAGGGGCAGGGCAGAAGGTCAGGGGACAAGTAAAGGCAGTGGCACTGGCCTGCCCTACCCCACCTAGCAGGCCGGACAGGGTCAGGGTCTGGGCGGCTCCAGCCTGCGCTCAGGGTGCCCCAAGGATTCTCTGTCACATCTGGTGGAGGCCACGCAGGCCCTCTTCTGCCCACTGACCCTTCCCAGTCCCACAGCACCCTGCCTTTGCTGTCCTGGGGTGGGGGGCTCTTTCCGGTTCTGGGGCACCTGGCTCCTCCCCATGCCTGTACCCCAGCACTTGTTTCTGGGTCCTAATGACCTGCTCTGTTGCTCCCGCTCCCAGGGGCTGGGCACCCCTCGGGCAGAGGCTGCCTGTCACTGCATGTACCCGCCCTATAGGAGCTGCCCAGTGAGGTTCCTCTTCCTTGGAGCCCAGCACCCCCTTACCCCATCAACTCTGCTGACCCCTCTCCAGCATGGCAGGAAGGGACAAGGTATTGTTCCAGGCTCTGGACCCCCAGGTACTGCCAGGGCCTTGCCCAGGGTGGCCTCACCTGCCTCTGTAAACTGGCAGGAGGAGAAACCCTACGACACAGGTGGCCTTGAGAAGTATGTAATGTCCTCCCCACCCCAGAATTCCTGCTCCTTAAGACTTCCCAGCCCCCCTGCCTGTGAATGGGGGCCTGGGGGACTGGGATGCAGGCAGACCCCTCCCTCTGCCCCCTCACCTTTCCTCCCCAGCTGTTTTGCTTCCTGTACTCTCCACTGACCCCTGTCCTCCAACTGGAGTCAGGAATCCACAAAGCGTAGCACTTCCTGTTTTGGGATTTACTAAAGAACTGAAAGAAGAAGAAATCGCACCAGTGATTCCCCAGCCACACTGAGCACCCAGCTGGAAGCTGTGGTCATATTAGGTGACAGCCTGCCAGCAGGCAGACACAATATATCACACCCTCCTTAATTGCCATGGCCACGAGGCTGCCCCTCCTGCCCATGGCCTGGAGCCCATGACTGGAGAGAGGGTGATGAGGAGCCAGCCACAGCGAAGGGGGGCAGGGCTTTCCAGGAGTTCTGCTGCAGAGGAAGGAAGGGAAGCTGGCTGAGCCGGAGGAAGGGAGGATGCTCAGATGGGCTCAGCTTCCTGCAGCAGACAGCCCCCCCACATGAACACATGTACCAATATGTGTGTACACGTGAACACAAACGTGTACAAATTCAGACGCATGCACAAACACAAACATATATACACCTGTACAAACACAGGAGCACAGGTGCATTTATATGGATGGATATATATATATGAACACAAACACACACATATCATGCACATATATATATAAATACATGTACAAACACATAGCCCTACTCGGGCTGCTGGAGCCTCCTGCTACCACAGCAAGGACGCCTGGCTCACACCCAGCTAGTGTGTTCTAGGTGAGCTGAGTGGGTGCCCACCACCCAGAGGCCCTCTGCCAGCAAAGCTCTAGGGCCTGCCTGTGCCCAGCCTGGGATGCACAGCAGTTCTAGGTTTCTGCCTACACAAGATAATATTTCCTGTCTGTTGGGATCTGAATTCCAACATTCTAATGCACACACCACCAGAAGTCACCTTCAGTGTACCGGCATCTCAGACCTATCAGGGCAGAGACTTTGTCTTGTTCACTGCTGGAACCACATCTGGAAGATCACAGGTGCTAATATATACTTGCTGAATGACTGAATGAGTGTGACAGAGACTTCAGGGTGAGTCTCAGGCCAGCCAGGTAGGGGGGGTGTGTCCTGGTGTGGCCCCAGAACATCTTTGAGGTAAAGGCCACAGGGCAGGATATGGTGGTGAAAGAGGGAAGGCTGCCAGGGCCCCAGGCTGCCACTGCACTTCTGCCCTCTTCCAGCCGAACTCAGGGCTGGGCTGCAGGTCCTGGGCCAGCAGATCAGCAGAGGCCTCCTTGCTCAGCTACACTCAGCTGGGACCTTAACACTTAGGGGTTGCTAGGGCAGGGCAGAGCAGCCCCTAGCACCTATGGCCCCTCAGGGACGCCATGCGCCCAGCTTCTCTGTCCTCACCATGGAGACTGCACCAAGACAGCCTCCCCAAGTGCTGACCCCGTCACCCAGCATTGAGAGGCTGCCACACCCCAGGGCCCTGGGTCCTGCGGAAAGTGTGAGTGGGCTCCTTGCCTGCTGGGGTTGGGAAAGGAAGCCAGCTCTGCCCAGCAGCATGTCCTGAGGTGAAACCTTAGACGTACCTGGTCTGCAAAACCACCTGAAAGAGCCAGGAGAGCACCACCAGAGTCCTGACTGCGCCCTGTCTCTGCTGGGACCATCCTCAACCTCAGAGTGGGCTGGGAGGTCTGGGCATAAGAACCGCCTGCAGGGAGCAGTTCCGAGGCCGCTGACAAGGGCCCACTGTGACCCAGGACAGTAGAGCACTGCAGGGCCAGTGGTGAGCATGGGTGTTGCCGCTGGGCTCCCAAATTTTTTAAAGTAACAGCTTTATTGAGATATAATCCACACTGGGCATGGTGACTTGAGCTTGTAGTCCCAGCTACTCGGGAGGCTGAGGTGGGAGGATGGCTTGAGGAGTTTGAGACCAGCCTGGGCAACATAGCAAGACCCCTGTCTCTGAAAAATAATTGAAAAATAAAAAATTAGCTGGGCATGGTGATATGCCCTTGTAGTCTTAGATACTCAGGAGGCTGAGGCATGAGGATCACTTGAGCCCAGGAGTTCAAGGCTGCAGTGAGCTATGATCTCACCACTGCACTCTAGCCTGGGCAACAGAGTGAGACCTGGCCTCTTAAAAAAAAATACACACACACACACACACACACACACACACACACATATATATTTCATTCACATACAAGTCATTCACTTAAAGTGTGCAATTCTGTGGATATTAGCATATTCAGAGGTGTGCAACCATCACCACAATTTTAGAACATTATCATCACCCCAAAAAGAAATCTCATACCAACCATCACTCCTCATTCCCACTCCCCCAGACCCTGGAAAGCATTATGTTCCTTTCTGTCTCTATGGATTTGCCTATTTGGACATTTCATGGAAATGGAATCACATATATGTTGTCTTTTGTGTCTGCTTCTTTCACTTAGCATGATGTTTTCAGGGTTCAACCATGTAGTACAAAATGTCAGTGCTTCAGCCTGGGCGTGGTGGCTCACACCTGTAATCCTAGCACTCTAGGAGGCTGAGGTGGTAGGATCGCTTGAGGTCAGGAGTTCAAGACCAGCCTGAGCAAGAGTGAGACCCCATCTCTACAAAAGATATAAAAATTAGCTGGGCGTGGTGGCACACACTTGTAGTCCCAGCTACTCAGGAGGCTGAGGCAGTAGGATCTGTTGAGCCCAGGAGTGTGAGGTTGCTGTGAGCTATGATGATGCCAGTACACTCTAGGGGAAAGAGTGAGACACTGTCTCAAAAAAAAAAAAAAAAAGTGTCAATGCTTCATTTCTTTTTACTGCCCAGTGATATTCCATTGCATGCATTCCTGCAGCCCCCAACCCTCAGTTCCGAGGACCAGTACCAGTCCGTGGCCTGTTTGGGACCAGGCCACAGAGTTCTGTCACTCCCCCACCCCTCCACCCCTCCACCCTTGTCCATGGAAAAATTGTCTTCCATGAAACTTAGGAACTGCCGCACAGCAGGAAGTGAGCAGCGGAGGAGCAACTCCCCATCACTGGCATCACCCATCAGCTCTGCCTCCACACCCCCAGTCAGTGGAAAAATTGTCTTCCATGAAACGGGTCAAAAGGTTGGGGACCACTGAATTGTATTCCATTGTATAGATTCACCACATTTTGTTTATCCATGCATCAGTCAGTGAATATTTGGGTTATTTCCACTTTTGGGCTATTACGAATAATGCTGCCATGAACATTGGTGTACAAGCATCTGGTCCTGGCTTTCAGTTCTTTTCAGGTATATACCTAAGCGTGCAATTGCTGCATCACAAGGTAACTCCTATGTGTAACTGTTCGAGGACCTGCAAGACTTGTTCCACAGGGCTGCACCATTTTCTTTCTTTCTTTTTTTTTTTTTTTTGTGCCTCTAGATACAATGCCTTAAGAAGCTGCACAATTTTACATACCCACCAGCAGTGCAGGAGGGTTCCAGTTTCTCCACGGCCTCTGCATCACTTCTTGTTATTTATCTTCCGTTTTACAGTCATCCCAGTGGGTGTGAAGTAGTTCACTGTGGTTTTGATTTGCATTTCCCTGATTAATGACGTCGAACAGCTTTTCATATGCTTGTTGGCAATTTGTACATTTTGCACATCTTTGGAGAAACCTCTACTCAGGTTCTTGGACTCGCCCAGACGTTTGGGAAACAGCCAGGAAGCGGAGGATGGGGCCCGGCGGTCCGGGAGGGGCGAGGGCGGTCCCCGAGGACGCCCTGGGCGCGCCGCTGCGTCAGGCCATAGTTTCACTTTTGGGTCCGACACCTCGGGGCCGCGTACTCGCTCGGCGACTCCCAAGACAAGCAGACGCGCGACCCCGGCCCGCAGGGCGGCCTCGCTTCACTACGTGGGCCCGGACCCCTGGGCGCCGACGGTCACGGTGAGCGGTCCCCGCCCGAGCGCACCGGCACCGGGGTAGGGCGCGCCCCCTGGCGCCCGGGAGTGGGGCGGCCTGCGCGCGGGGAGGGGGTGCTGGCCCTCGTGAGCAGCCTACCCATCCCAGCACCCTCCTGGAAGGCCCGCACCCCCAACCGGCGTGGGGAAGCTCCAGAGCTCTGGGAAAGTTGCTCTTGGCCAGCCCAGCGGCCTGATTGGCCAGATTGGGCTTGACTCCAAGGTGGGCCCTCAATGTGCCCAGGCCTGGTGCTTTCTTGGCCCACCCTCCAATTTCACAAGGCTCGGTGGCTCAACGGCTTCCTCTGGGAGTGGCTGGCTCTTCCACAGCTGCCCAGGTCTCCTGTGTCCCCACTCAGGCCTGCTTTGGCCTCTGAGCCCTGAAGCTTCACTTGGACAGGTGGCCTATGGAGCTCTCAGAGAAGGCACTAGGGGACATGGCTGGGATCTGGGGACACTCTGGGTCTTGCTGCGGGTCCCTGTGCCATGCCCACTCAGCCCTCTGAGCTCCTGTGGATGGAGCATCAGCCTGGGAGGCCCCAACACCCAAGCCTTGCCCACCCTTCCTTGGTGGGTGTGTGGCCCTAAGCCTCCTTGGACTGACAGGGTGATGCAACCCTCAGTGGGTGGCCAAGGGCTGCCATCTCCAAACCCCCAGCACTGACTGTCCCAGGACCTGTTCCCAGTAGCCATGAAACAGATGGTGTGAGTGGCCTGAGTCCTACTGAGGGTGGTGAGTGATATCCCAGCCTGAAAGTGCTCATGGCCCCTGGAGAGATGAACAAGTAGGTGGCAGGGTGGACACATTGTTTCTTCCTCTACGAGGGAGCGGTTAGGGGCAGGGGATTCCCACCAGCCAGGGCGTCCTGGGACTAGCTGGGCGGACTAGCTGGAGTTCCCTGCCATTGGAGGCCTCCAAGTACCAACCCTTCCCCAGCCCTCTCCTGCTCGTCCCACCCTGAGGGCACAATGCCTGACCCAGCCACCCTCCTCAGGAGCATGGTGTCAGCCTTTGAAAGGGTGGTTCGGAGCGTGGTCCGGGAGCTGGACCGCAATGGGGAGCTCATCCCCGTGAACAGCCTTCAGAATGCTACTGGCTTCCGACCCTATGGTCTGCTGAGCAGGAAGCCCTCAAGTTCGTGGTTCTGGAGACCCCATTACAAGTGTGTCAACCTGTCAATCAAGGACATCCTGGAACCTGACGCCCCAGAACCAGGTACCCAACTTGGTGCTGAGACAGAACCCGGGCTTGGCCAGGTGGAGGGAGGAATGTGGCCAGTCCCTGCCAGGCCCTGCAAGCTCTGGTCAATGGACCTCCAGACCTCTGCTTCCAGAGACAGGGCCTTTTTAAAGGTCCCACTGCCCTGAGGGTGGGACAGGGCAGTGGCTGGTGGAATAGCGCCTCAGGCCTGATCTTGCCCCAGATCTGGAATGCAGCGGCCCCTTCCTCTTCTATGATGCCATGGACGGGCAGCTGCAGGGCAGCGTGAAGCTGGCAGTCCCGTGTCAGGGGAGGATCTCAGGTGGGGCCTCGGTGTCTGACAGTTCCAGCACCTCGATGGACGTGTGTGCCCTGCATGTGGACCCCAATATCTGGGAAGCCATGCACAAAGAAAGGTGAGCCCTGACTAGAGGCATGGGGTCCCTGCTGACCTCAGGCAGCCTTGCTCTTAGGGAGTGCCAGATCATGACCTTGGGGCATCAAGAAAGCCCTAGAGGCAATGTCTGTGCCAGCACCAAGGGGAGGCCCAGAGGCGAGGAGCGCTGTGGCTAGAGGTGGGTTGTCAGGGAAGGATACTGTAGAGGTCATTTGAGGCCTCAGTTACCAGGATGATAACCTGAGGGCAAGGGTGGCCAGGCAGGGCCTGGGGGATCTGGGGGTCCCCCAGGCTCTGTTGGGAGGGAGTCATGTGGATATCAGAATACACAGAAGGGGACCACTAGCTCGGAGTCCAGACTTGATATTTGACCCCAGGGAATGGAAGGCGAAGAGCAGCCAGGCAAGGTGGTGGGCACCTCCAGGGGCCCATATGTGTCGACTTCTTCCCCAGGGCCTCATCCCTGCAGACACTGTTGGGAGCACCCACAGCGGGTGCCCATACCTAGGTATCTGCAGGCTCCTGGGGGCCCTTCTGCCTCAGCCCACCTCATGGCAGAGCAGCCATGGGGAGATGGAAGCTGTCCTTGTCCTTCCGAGGGACACACCCCAATGAGCTTCCTGCCCCTCGGGCCATAGGCGCCTGCGGCAGCCAGAACATAAAGTCCTGCAGCAGCTGCGGAGTCGAGGGAATGATGTGTATGTGGTGACAGAGGTGCTGCAGACACAGAAGGAGGTGGAGGTCACCCGGACCCACAAGCAGGAGGGCTCTGGCCGGTTTGCACTTCCCACAGCCATGTGCCTCCAGGTGTGTGGCCAGCCCCACACGCCATGCCTGGCCCCATGGGGACATGGGGCAGGGCTCGGGGGACAAGAGAGCAGCTTCCCAGCAGCAGGGCTGGGCTCTGCCGGGTCCCCTTGGCACAGCTCCTGGCCCTGCACTTGGCTGAGTGGGGCTTGCCCATGCCCTGTGCTGCCCACCGTTGGAGAAGGGCCTGCCACCAGCACCCAGCCCATACCCACAACCCTGAGACCATCTCCATCCCTCAGGGTGAGGGCCGAGGACACCTGAGCCAGAAGAAGGTGGTCACCATCCCCTCGGGCACCATCCTTGCCTTCCGGGTGGCCCAGTTGATTATTGGCTCTGACTGGGGTGAGCTGGGGCCGGGGTGCCCTTGGGGCCCAGGCTCTGTGGCAGGGAGGCCTGCGAGAGCCAGCGGCTGGCTAGGGGCTGCTGTGGCCATGTGGCTGCACAACTTCCTGGGTCAGGCAGGGTGGCTGAGAGTCCTGTGCTCTGATGTGGGAGTGACTGGGCAGGGCCTGGACTGGGGGGCCCCCAGTGGTGAGGGAGAGGCCAGGACCCCGAGTGACTTACTTCCCTCCGTCCACTCCTGCCTGGCTGCCAGACATCCACCTCTTCCCAGATAAGAAGGAGAGGACCTTCCAGCCACCCTCCAGAGGTGAGGCCCAAGGACGCCCCACCTGGCCATTCCCTTGGTAATGGAGGCCTTCTCCTTGTGTGCTCTGGGCACAGGGTGGCTGGGCAGCCTTCTGAGGTGTTGGCACCGCCATGTACACACACAGGGCAGCACAGGGACAGGCTGACCCTGGCCTTCCTCCCTGCCCTTGGCAGCCACTGCCAGGGGTGAAGACCAGAGCTGGGACGGCCCAGGGAAGGCCTCGGCCCCCTCTGGCTCAGGTACCCACTCTTGCACTGACCAGCCCTGCTCTGCCTCCCCCATCCACATATCCCTGCCCAGGCCACAAGCCTTCTGGGAGCGCAGATGGCTGGCAGCAGCAGAGCTTTGGCTGCTGCCCGATACAGTCCATCTCTCACCGCCCGAAGTTCCTGGCAGGTCAGTGCCCTCTTGACCACCTCTGGGACCCTAGTGGGGCTCTCTTTCTGCCCCTGGGGTCTGCCCATCCTGACCAGGGCTTCCCAGGGCCCTGTGGCACCCAGGCAATGCCAGCCCTCTGTCCCTACAGACGGACTCTCTGAGAAGCAGGTGGCCACTGAAGACTTCCAGGGCCTGCAGGCAGAGGTGGGAGCCATGTCCACGGAGCTGGAGCACATGGAGCCAGGGCTGAGCCGGCAGCTGCTGGGGTACCTGGCTGCGATGCTGCAGAACAAACCAGCCCTGCAAGCCTTAGAGGATTCGGTGAGCTGGGGACAGCACCAGAGGGTGGACAGGGCCTGCCTGGCCAGCCCAGGCTCACCTGCTTCTCCCGTGCCCACAGCTGGAGCAGGGCCTGTGCTGTGGGCAGGCAGAACCCCTAGACGGCCCGGCGGGTGCTGTCCTCGAGTGCTTGCTGTTCCCCTCCGGGATGCTGGTGCAGGAACTCGCCAACTCCATCTTATACCTGCTGGGGGCACTGACCGGTGAGCGGCCCCTGTACTGGGGCAGGAGGGAAGAGTATGGGTGTCCCCAGCCGGGCCTTCCAGAACCCCTCTCACCCAAGGTCTCTCCCCAGTGCTGAGTGAAACCCAGCACGTGCTGCTGGCTGAAGCGCTGGAGACAGGGGCCCTGCCGGGGCAGCTCAAGCTGGTGAGAGGGCGCGGGCATAGGCGCCGGGCTGGGCCTGGGGAAGGGGTTGTGCAGGCTGGAGCAGGATGCCTCTGGGCCCCCTCTGACCAGCCACACCTTGTCCCGGCAGGTGGGGAGCCTCTTGAAGCAGGCCCCATGGCAGGAGCGTGGCACCGTGTCCCTGCCCCCCGGGCTGCTGGGGAGCAGCTGGCATGAGGGGGCGCCAGCCTGGGTCCTGATGGAGGAGTGTGGCCTGGACCTGCAGGTGGACGCCCCCCATGTGCGCTGGGAGCCGCAGGCCCAGGGCCCCACCTGTGCACTCTATGCCTCCCTGGTGCTGCTGTCAGGACTGAGCCAGGAGCCCCACTAGCTTGCACCCCACACGCCAGAGCAGCCCTCCAGGAAGGGCAGTCAGTGCCCACCCAGCCGCCGGCCTAGGAAGGCCAAGGGCCCAACTTAGCTACATGGCTAGTTGACCATGTGGCTGGAAGTTGGGGAAACTCAATAAATGTGATGTACGGAGGAAAGACTGGGCGCTGGGTTTCTGAGGGGTCCTAGATCTGGGGTGGCGTAGGTAGGGGTGGAGACTGTGCCCGTGCGGCATCTGGAGGGGGATGGGGGCCGAGAGTAGGCATATCTCCCATAGCTCCTTGCGCACCATGGGGCCAAGAGAAGCCTGCCCTGTGCGTGGATTCGTCTGCTCCAGGGTTACCAGCACATGGCCCTGCCCACAGGCCCGCCCCTGTAGTGATGGGCAGGGCGGATAACGTGAGGTGGAGTCCACCAGGACAGGTCTGTATCCGAGGTACCGATGGATTGGGGGACACACTGCTGAAGGTTGTAGGCCCATCCTTGGCCCACAGGGGCTGTAGGGGTACATGGCTGGCCGATGACAGACAGACCCTCCTCTCCTGGGGCCACATAGGAGGTTCCTGGAGAAGTGGTGACCCGTACTGAAAAGAAACTGGCCTTTGGTCTGTTTCACCCAAATCCACTTGCTCTGGAGCAAGGAGGCTCCTGGCCCGAGCTCTGGGCCCTGGGAATTCAACAGGTCTCAGAGCGCACATCAAGCTCATTGCTGGCAGGGTTCAACAGCTATGGGCCCCGTGTCTGGGAGGCACGTGCAAGAGCCGATGAAGCCTGGGAGCTGCCATTGCGCCAAGGAGCTTGGACAGCCCTCATTGGTGGGGACTGCAGTCTACCCGCCGGTGTCACCCAGCCTTCTGCCCTGTCAGGGCACGCTGTCAACACATGCCTTGCAGGACTTGCCAAAGAGAAGGGACAGTGGGTTTGTCTATGGCTGGGACATTAAATATCCAAGAATACCCAGGATTCAAGCCCAATAGTGAAATTGATATTGAAACAGAAGACAGTGTTCGTTCAAATCCTCACGCAAAAGGGGAAAAATGACAAAAAGAAAAAAATATATTAAAAAATGCACCCCAAATATCTCAGATCCAGGTTATAGAAACCTAGAACCCAGCCTCCCACACCCAGTGGAGTAAGCAGCTCAATGCCTCAGGCTCAGGGTCCTCCTTTGAAAACCCTCTTTCAGGTGACTTGAAAGGCAAAGCCAGGGTGAGTGGGAGAGGCATAGCCAGGTCCTGGAAAGCACTAAAGAAGCGGGCACATGGGCACTGCCCCTGGGGCCCTGAGACCTTCAAGGCCAGGCCATAAGACAGGTCCTGGCCAGCCACACCCAAGCCCCATTTGGATAGTCCAGAGCCACTAATGAGCTCTCCAGTGACACAGCCCATCAGAGAGCTTCTGGGCGTCAAGACAGAGGCTGACCTCGCCCTGTGGCCAGAGGGCCACCTGTGAGAAGGGAGTGAACGTGTCAGGATGAAGCCACATATTTGCCTTCGGATCCCAGCCCCCAGTCGGAAGATTTACCTCGGGCAGCTCTTCTGCAGTGGAGCTGATGGACCTGGGGCCCCAGCTGTGGCATACCCGTGGAGGGGCCAGGCCACCCCAGCAGAGAAGCCCCGTGCAGGGTCCCACTCCCAGAGGCCCTGTGGACTTGACATGAACCTCACACACCAGGCAGGGAGTCCAGTGTGGCTGCCAGTGCCTGGGTAAGTGAATACACATTCGTAATAGGCAGATGCAGGGTACATGAGAAAGGCTGTGCACCAAGCGTTTGCTACACGACGGAGTGCAGGTGTGGGGCAGTGGAGGTGCTGCCTGCTCACCACGCGAGGGTAGGCTCTGCAGCAGCATTGGGGTAGCCCACCGGACTGTCCCACTGTGCTCTGGGGTGCAGACGTGCCTGTGATTGGTGGGGGGCAATGGGCCTCACATACTCGCCCCAGGGTCTGGCTCCCAGGTTGCAAGCTGAGCAGAAGGGCCAGGCTGCTCGCTGGGGCTGCCACTGAGGGGATCCATGTGGGCTGCGTCCCAAAAGCCATCCCTGTGCTTGCGCCAGGCCACACTTCCATGGGTGTTCCTGGCTGGTCCTGGAAGGTGTGGACTCTGGATAGGGGACTGGCGTGGGAACTCTGCAGGCTGGCAGGAACACCCGAGGTGTGGGCCAATCTCCTTTCCTTCCTTCTTTTCTTCACTGGGTGTCTGGTGGCCTCCCGGCCTCCCTGGCATTTCCTGACACATGTCTTGTATGTTTAATCCTGTTTTGGCACCTGCTTTGAAGGATCTCAACTAATCCACCAAACTTTGCCCATGGCTCCACAAAGACCCGTGTCCTTGGCCTGATCCTAACCTGCCGTGACAATGACCTACAAAGAGACCCTAACCCCAGTCCTGCCTGAGCTCTGACCCCAGCAATTCAGCGTGTGTTGGACCAGAGCACAGCTTCTCCTCTTTGTCTTAGGGAAAACCCAGCCTGACCGTTAACCCTGCTGCCGAACTAACCTTACCTCAGGCCACACCAGTGGCCTACTAACTGTCACCCCAGCCTGGGCTGGATCTTGGGCCAGCCAGCTCATCCTAACCATGTTCTCAGACAGACACCCAATGTCTTCAATCTATGTGTATTTATTTTTTTTATTTTTATTTTTTTGAGATAGGGTCTCATTCTGTCACCCATGCTGAAGTACAGTGGCATCATCATAGCTCACTGAAGCCTCTAACTCCTGGGCTCAAGCGATACTTCTGCCTCAGCCTCCCAAATAGCTTGGACTACGGGTGCGCACCACCACACCTGGCTAATTTTAAAATTTTGTATAGAGATAGGGTCTCACTATGTTGCCCAGGCTGGTCTCAAACTCCTAGCCTCAAGTGATCCTCCTGCCTCAGCCTCCCAGAGCACTGGGACTACAAGTATGAGCCACTGTGCCTGGCCTCCATGTGGGAGCTAGGGAGATGGTGAGGGCAGGACCCCATGGCTGTACCCGCTGAGCCTTTATGAGGCTGTGCACACTCCCAGTGTGTGTGAGAAGACCTCCCTGAGGAGGAAGCTGAGAGAGAGGCCTTGCAGGGCGATGACATTCCAGTGGAGATGCCTGCCAGGCCAGAGCCGGAAGGGCTTCTCCCTTGCGTGTCCAGTCTCACCTTCCTCATTCAACCCTGTGCAGGGTGTTGGGTGCTGCCACAAGTGTAGCCTGGTGGGGTAGGCATGCCAGCACCCCACACCTGAGCCCACAGGTGTAATTGAGGGCCTGTACTCTCCAGCTGGGAGAGAGATCAGGACATCTTCTGGAGAAGGCCATGCTCTGAGGGGGCCTGACACGATGAAAGAGGGTGGGGGTGGGGAATGGCAGCCAGGCTGAGAAGGGACCAGCAGGTGTGGACAGGACAGGTCAACACTTCTTGAGCAGAAAGGACATAGGCCAGAAACCTCAGGATGCCAGCAAGGAGTGGGCATGCGTGAGGAGTGAGGGTGATGGCTGCAGGGACAGCCAGGAAGGCCCTGGCAGGCCCTAGAGATGGGGCCAGGCACAAAATCGAGGCCTGGGAAGGGGCAAGAAGGCAGCCTATGGGGCACCAGCTTCAATGCCCCCACCAGACCTTGGCTCAGGAGGCCAGGTGCCCTCGCGGCCAGGTGTCAGGCTCAAGGTTGGGGAACAGGGCACATTCCAGGGGGCTGGAAGAACAAGAGGCCAGAAGAGGGCAGGCACACCCATGCGTACAGGGGAAGGGGCTGAGGATGGAGGGGCCGGACAGAGGGTGCCGCTCACTGTCCCTCTCTGGCACGTGGCTGTCAGAGTGGTGGGCATCTGGAGAGGAGTCCTGGGGAGTGGGCACCGGCATCCAGCACCAGGCCCAGGGCACCCAAGCAGGGCGAGGACTGGCTCCAGTGTGGGTGGGGTGCCCAAGTCAGACCCCTGATCCTCAGGTTGGGCGCGGTCCGGACCAGCCCCAGCGGTCAGCAAGGCTCCGGCGCTGGAAGGGGCTGTCGGCGAAGGCAGGCGGGGGCCGGGTGGGCCGGGCGCCCCGCGGGACCAGGCCAAGGTGGAACGGGCCGCGGGGTCTACCCTGGGTGCGGGCCAGCAGCGCCACCTGCTGTGAGGACACCTGCGCTGCCGCGGCCACAGCCGGCTGGGGGTCGCTCTGCAGCCTCCCCAGATCTGCGGAGAGGGTGGCTCAGGCTGCGTGGACCCTCCACCCAACCGCTCCTGTCCACTCCACCCCAGTACCCGCCAACCTCTCCAGGCCCCCCGCCCTGGCAAGTCGGGTACTCACCCTGGAACAGGGAGTCCAGCAAGTCCTGGTGGACGAGTCCTGGGCTCGCATGGTGGACAAGGAAGCCTGGACCACAGCGCAGCCGTGAGCACTGGCCCCACGCCCCAGCAGGAAGGGGCTGGCCCAGCTCCCAGAACTTGTGCCAGGGACAGTGTGACCCCAGAATTACCTCACCTATGAGCATGGTGGCTGCATGGCGCAAGGGGTCCTGTGGGCTCCGCAAGTAGCCCTGGGTCTGGCTCAGGAAGTTGGGCACGTGGCTGGGGTATCGCTGAATCTAGGGACATAAGTGCTCATGACAGGATAGGAAAGCCAGTCCTGAGTGGAGAGGAGGCTACAGAGGCAAACCCAGGCTGGGGCAGCACAGGGAGTCTCTGGGGCAGGGCAGCACGTGAGCAAGTCTAGCTGTGGTGGGGACTCAGTTTGGGGGCCCTGGTGAATACTGGAACAAGCGGCAGTGACCACACCTCTCACCCTCACATGCTTCCCCCACTGACCAGGCGGTGGCAGACGCGGCTTAGGGCCTCAGGGTTGTCGTAGTGGGCCACAGTGACCATTTCCTCTAGCAGGCCCCAGCAAAGGGCCTGGTCACAGCGGGCCAGGGTCCACTCTGAGCTCTGGAATAGGGGAAGGGAGCAGGGTTGGGAGTCCAGAAAGTGGCAAGAGGTTGGGGGCAGGGGAATGGCCAGAATGAGGCGTGGGAGAGTCCAGGGCAGGGGGCTGAATACAGTGGTCCAAGGGAAGGCCAGGAACCTGGTGGCACATGACGCCTGCACCTGAGGTCCTGGGGGTGGTCAGGGACCCTGACTTGTGATCTTCGTTGGGAAGGCGGCATGGGCGTGGGGAATGTGGGTGGGAGAGGGCGGGATGTTCTCCAGGGGCGGCTGACCTCAGCAGTGTCCCGGCTGGGGTCGTGGAGGCGCAACAGCAGTGGCATGAGACTCTGCAGCACCAGCTTCCGCAGGGGGCTGCGGAGCCCCAGCCGCAGCCCGCCCCGGCCCCGCCGCACCAGCGTCCCGAGGAGCCCGACCGCCGAGGCGCGGACTGAGTCCCGGGCCTGCGTGGGACGGCGCGGTCAGGACGGGCGGAGAGGGAGAGGAGTGCAAGGGGGGGGGTGGCCAAGGCTGAGCGAGGAAGGAGAGGGTCCAGGAGGGCTGCTGACTGGGGTGGTAATCTGGGGGCGGGGCCTGGTGGGGGTCCCAGAGATGCTGGAGGGGCGGGGCCTCGGCTGGGCGACAGGGGGCGGGGCAGGGCGAGGCGTTGCTCACGTCGTCCAGCAGCCTGGGCAGGCGCGGCCCCAGCTCCGCGCTCAGGAGCCGCACGGGCGCCCGTGGCCACAGGAGGAGCCTCCGCAGCGCTCCTAGTGCTGCGCCCACAAGCCGCGCGTCGCCCTCGCCCAGCGACCCCAGGAGCGCTGGCAGCAGCGTATTCATGTGCCGCACCTGCTGGGGCAGGACGTCGTGGTCACTCCCTCACAGACTTCACCGCCGCCCCGCCCGGCCCCGCCTCTCACCTTCCCGCGATTCAGCGCGAGATGGCCGAGGCCAAGCAGGCCCAGCCAGCGCACTGTGGGCTCAGGGTCGCCCTGCCAGGTGCGGAGCCGCTCCAGGATGACCTCCTCCCGCAGGAGCCGTGCGGTGGGCGGGCTCTGCAACAGCTAGGCGAGGGACACGGGGTCAGCATGCTCTTGGTGCCCGTGTAGGCCGATGCTGCGTAAGGATCAAGTCCACCCCCGCCCAGTCATCTGGGAAGCAGGCTCACCCCGGTGAAGAAGGCCATTGCCGTGAGGCGCTGTGGGTTGTCCGCGCTACGCAGCCGGGGAAGCAAGTCTGCAAAGAGGCCTCGCAGGTGGTGGTCTGCATGCGCCACCATGGCACTGGGGTGGGGTGGAAATGGGAGCTCTCCCTTCGCTTGGGGGCCTCAACCCTCATGGAAGTTTCTATAGAAACGACCACCACTCTCATGCCCTCACCTCTTCCCTGGCCCACCTGCCCAGCACCTGGCCATCAATGAGCCTCCCCCTGGCCACGGTCCCAAGGCCCCTCCTCACCTGGCCAGCAGCAGCACGCCCTCCAGGTGGGTGTGGGCTCCCACCAACCTCCTCCAGCCTCCTGCCTGCTCCATGCATGTGACCACCATGCGGCCCCCATCTCCAGTGAGCAGGGCCTTCAAGGCCTCCACGGCACAGCTATAGGTGGGGGCAGCAGGGGAGCAGTGAGGGTTGAGAGGGCACCGACCTGCCCCCACTTACCCTAGTGTTGCCTCTCACCTGGCATGGCTGTGTGGTGGCCCTCGGTGGGACAGGACCCAAATCTTGGGAGTATCAGGGGAGTGTGTGTTACTGTGAGCCAGCTCGTGCAGCTGTGTGACCAGTGCCAGCAGCAGGTGCGGGTAGAAGCCCCGTGTGGCTCCCACACAGCCTGAAATGGCCAACATCTCCCCAAGAGCACGTGTGGCCTGCACAGCAAGTAGCCCATTCAGGCCTGAGGGTGCCTGGAGCCACTTGAGCACCAGAGGGGTGGGCATGCTTCAGACAAAGCCTCAGGACATTCTGGACTCGCATGGCTCAGGGGGGAACTTGCTGCCCACTACACCCCCGCCCCACCCAGTTCTGAGTCTCCAAGCCCCTCTGGCCAGGCAGCACCCTCTGGCAGCGCTGGCTAGAGCCACCTACCGCCAGTGCCTCCGGCTTGGGCCCTGCAGCGCCCTTCAGTGCCCACAGCAGTTGCACCAGCACCTGCCCATTTACGCGCTGGTTCCGGCTTAGGCTGCGCCAGAGCTCGGCTGCTGCCCTGAGGGGTGGGGTCGGGGGGCTGGCATGAGACAAGGGTCTGGTGCAGGGATGGGTGGTGAGGCCATGGAGGCAGCCGCTAGGACTCCAGCAGGGGAGAGGCAGGTGAACCAGCCCCCACCCTAATCCCAGAGAAACAAAATAAGTGGCACTGTGCAGACCACAACGCTGCCGGGAGATGAGATCAGAGCTGGGCTGGCATCGCTCGGAGCCCCAACAGGTCAGTGACAGCGAAGCAAACCTGGCATTAAAAATCACCTCAGAGAATAAGACCAAGGACAACTTCTGGGGCACATTAACCAAAGAGCCAGGGGCAGCATGGCCAACAGCCACCCAGCTCACTCACCCCACACTGAAGCACAACCCAGCTGGTCTCCAGGGGCTGCTGGAGATAGAGGCCAGCCCCAAGATAGGAACCAGCATCTGAGACCCTGAGGCTGGAGCGGTAGGGGGCGTTTGCAAAACTAAAGGTGGGCGGTTCAGGACAGAAGTCTAAGGGAAAGTATAAGGATGTTCTGCCCCCTTAACAGCCTGGGGCCAGACTCCACGTCCAAGCGGGAAGGAAGCTGCAAGGGGGCCTCGGGGCTGGTGCATTGGTGGGGCAGGGCAGTTACCAGTCAGGGGGCAGTGAGCGTGGTAGCAGCGCACACACAACATCCCTCGAGTGCTCCAGGGCCAGTGCGCTCAGCACGCGCAGGGCCGCCCTCCGGGGCCTCCCCTCGGCCAGGCTGGGCACTTGTGCCAGCAACCCCAGCACCAGAGCATGCACCTGGGGTGGAGGGGGCCAAGGTCAGCAGTCAGGCCTTCTCTCGCCAGCGCCCCACCCCACCCATCAGGAGCAGCCTGAAGGGGGGCCATGCTTCAGACCGCTCACTCCAATCCCCACCCCCCACCTTGGAAGGGGCCACAGCGGGGGTCTCAGGTAGGAAAAGGGCGAGGGCTGACCTGGTCCTCTAGCCGTGCCCCATGGGCCTCCAGGGCTGAGGACAGGGTAATCGCTGTTGCCTGGGTCCCTGCAAAGCCAGCCTCCTCTAGACAGGCAGCCGTGTACAAGGCAAGGTCGGCGAGAGCCCCCTCCTCCCAGGAACTCCGGGAGGCCTAGGGCAGAGAGCAGGGTGTTTGAAGTCCCCGAGCCTCCCCCAGGCTCCCCACCCCTCCCAGCTTCCTACAAAGCACACTCTACATTGCTCCCTAGCCTGTCTTACCCTGACCTTCCCCAGATCTGGCACCCCTCCGTACATCTGGCATCCTCATGAGCTCAGAGATCAGCCGGGAGTCCCCAGGCCCATCCCCACAGCATTCCTTCCCTCGCCACTCACCTGGCGGGGTCCCGGCTCCGGAGCGCTGCTTGGGGAGCAGGGTTCACAGCCAGCTGTGGGGGCAGTGGCCCCACTTCCAGGCTCAGCCTTGGCGGCGAGGCCAGGTGCCTGGGCCTGGGGCTCAGGCTGAGGGCTGGTGGAAGAGGGTCCTAGGGGCTGTCCCTGGCTGGCCCGGATCCCTTCAGCCAGAGCTGTCAGAGTTAGAGCCCCTACGGGGGCCCCCCGGGTGCGGCCCCACATACCCCCAGCCATGGCTGCCCCAGCCAGTAGCACCTGCCCCTGCTTCTCCTGGGAAGTCGTGCCCAGGCCTGACCCAGAAGCAGGCCCCGGGCGGGACCACAGGCGGGCCCCTGGACAGGTGTGGTGGTGCGTGCGTGAGCGTGCATTCTGTGGGGAGGGGACTGGGCAGCCGCTCAGAGGTGCCTGCTGTGGGCTTGTGAAGGGCCTCCTGCCCAGGCTGTGGGAGGCGAGTGGCCAGCCTGTCCACGGTCTGGCTCTACCCACCAGGGCCCTGGGAAGGGGCAGGATCCCTAGGAGGTGGCAAATCTACAAAGAAGGGTGGTTAGAAGCCCTTAACCCGGACTACCAGCTCTTGGCCAGGGGCCCAGGGCAGTTGTGGACAGCCCTGAGGAGGCCCCAGCAGGGTCCAGGAGTCTGGGTCCAGCCCAGAGCGGAGGCCTGATTCAGCCCTAAAGAAGCAGCAGGGTTTCATCTGGGCCAGGGGCTGGGCCGGCCCCCCTAGACTCCAGCCCCATCAGACATCCTGAAATGGACATGAATGGGTAAACTGTCACCATCGCTGAGCTGAGGGCAGCCTGGGGACAGGGCTACCAAATAAAGCCAGAGGAGCTGCTGCCTCTTGCAGGTGCCCACCACTGTTGAGGTGGGCCCTTCTGGGTCCTGGACAGTTCTGAGGTGGTGTCCCCCACCCCATCTGGGCCCCTAGGAGTGCACAGCTAAGACTGGTGCCCTGTGGGTGCCTGGAGCACAGTGTGTTCTGCCCAGTATGTGTATGAGTCTGTATCTCTTTCTTAAGCTCATGTTCCCCAGGGCTGGCCTGACCAGGCCTCTGCCCCAAATCCCCGCCTCCACCCTCACCCAACCACACTGTGGGTGTCGCCCAGCCCTGAGCCCTGCAGAGCCAGATGAGCTGGTCTGGTGGAATACCTGAGCAGGCAGAAGTGCTCCCGGAAGCACCCCAGACAGTTGGCATTTCCCCCACGCCCTGGCCTGTCTGTGCCATCCTAGGCTGCCTGGACAAGGGCCCAGGCCCCCAACTTCCGCTTCCTGCCAAGCCTAGAACCTCTCTCCTGGGCAGTTCCTCTATAGCCCAAGTTACGAGGGCGGGTGGAGCCCTGAGATCTCTAACTTGCCCGCACAGAGGCAGGGCCAGCCCCACACACAGCCAAGCAGGCTGAGGCTGGCCCAGGGTCCGCCGGCTGTGTCTGGAGCTGAGTTGGCTCCTGGAGCCTCAGTTTCTTCTCCACACTTCCTCCTCTTCCCAGGCTGCTGGGTCAGGTGCTGAGGCCCCAAAGCCAGGGCCTGGCTGGCCCATGACAGATGCCAGGGTTGTACATGGCTGACAGCAGCGATAGCAGGGGATACCTGGCTCTCCCCCTTGGCTTGGGAAGCTTGAGATGTCCTCACTGGCCCTGAGCCAGGGGGCAGTGGCCTAGGCAGGCATGGGAGCCCAGGGCCATGCCTGGACCTTCTATCTGGCACCCCAGCCCCACTCCGGGGCCCCACCATCCCCAGCCTCCCTCTGATGAGGACAAGTCTTCTGCAGTAACTCCCCCAGTGTGAGGCGGACACCAAAGCCCTCCCCCTACCTGAGGCCCTGCCTGCTCCAGTGTCAGGTCTGGCTCCCCACAGCCCAGCTTCCTGGGCCAGGGACACTCCTCACTGCCTTTCGGGCCTCCACCCAGGGCTGTCTCACCACCCTGGCCGGACCTGTGCTTCCCCTGGGAGCATGAACCCTGATTCCTGACTCCAGCCCGTCCCTGGAGCCCTGGGGCACCAAGTGAGCAGTGGGCGGGGCAAACAAACATCACGTGACGAGTTGTGGGGGACAGCAAGTGACTCATGTTGTCTCCAGGCAGCCCCCACCACTGGGATTCTCACAGGGGCCCTCCCCGACGCAGACGGTCCACCAGGTCCCGCAGCTTCTCCGACAGTGCCACCTGCAGGGAGGAGAGGGACGATGGGTGGCTGTGGGGGCAGAGGGCCCAGGACAGGTGACAGGGGCCCATCCCACCTGGTACAGTGCAGGACTCCGCAGCCGCTTGTGCTCAGGGCTGAGGCGGCTCAGGGACAGCTGGGCGAAAGCTCTAGACTCTGCCAGTGATGGGAGCGGCTCACACAGCTGCAGGAGGAGGGGATGCTGGCTTGGGTCGGGGCTAAACTGGGGTTGAGGGTGAAGACTGAGGGGTTGGGGTGGGGGCAGTTACCTGTCCCTGCTGGACCCAGAGTTGCAGCAGTGGCTCCACCTGGGCTGGCTTCACGGTACGGGGCTCCTGGGCCCCTCGAGGCCAAACCCTCAGCTCCTGCCCAGCCTGTGGCGGTGGCTCTTCTGCCAACTGCAGCACATCCAACAGCAGAGACCCTGTTGGGGAGGAGCAAGAATAATGTGCGGGACCTGGGCCCTTGAAGGGGAACAACAGAGGGGAGGGAGGGGGCTCACCATCATTGTCCAGGAGCCGGAAGGCAGCCTTGCTCCCTGGCATCGTCTGCTTCTCGGGGTCCTCGGTCAGCTTCATTCGCGGCTGGCCTCCCACAGACACCAGCTGCAGGGAGAGGGTGTCGAGATGGCTGGGCCCTCATCCTCCAGCAGGCATGAGCCCCTAGACCCAGCCCAACCTGGGCCCCCAACACTGTCTTCACCTTATAGACGCAGCCCAGGGAAGGCTGTTGGGGACAGGTGACCACACTGGTGCCAATGCCAATGACATTCACCTCACTGCCCTGGAGAGGAGAGGAGGTGGCAGTGAGCCCAGCCAGGACCTGCAAGAGCCCCCAGGCCCTCCTCAGCACTCTCTGCCTGCCCCTCCTGCCCTGCACCTCCTGGGTCAGCCGGACCAGCTCCTCTTCGTCAATGTTGTTGCTGACTGCAATGGAGACTGACTCCAGCCAAGGCACCTGGAAGCTGGGATGTGGGTAGAGCCAGGGGAGGGGTGGGGATAGCCCCCTCAGACCTTCCTGATTCACCCTGGGCTCCCCAACCCTATTGGGCACACCCACACTAGGCCCCCCACACCTCTCTGCTGGGGTCTGTAGTGTCACCCTTGAGACTAGGCCAGAGTCCCTCCCTGCCCCTCCATGTCCTGGCTCCCCAAGGGGTCTCTGAGCAGACACACACCTCCCCAGGGCACTCACTGGGCTGCAGTGGTCCGGAAGACCCCACGGACCTCCTGGGCCAACTGAAGCAGGTCACCACTGTCCAACCTCACACCCACGGGCCGGTAGCCCAGTTCCCCCAGTGCCAGGGCTACCGCCAGGAAGTTGGGGAGACCACTCCTGCAGGCATAGACAAAGGAGTCAGGGGCCACAGCTGCTCTGTGGAGCCCACCCAGAATGCCTGGGGCTCACCTCCATACGCTGTAGGAGTCCAGCAGACCCTGGAAGGCCCGGGGAAATGCCAGAGCATAGGCCACAAAGGCAGCCCGCTCCCCCGGATGCGGCTCCTGCACACCCAGCCCCAGGTGGGCACACACGCGCTCCAGCCACTCCTTTACACTGGCAGCCAGGTCTACCCCAGGACCCTCACCGGCAGCAGGAGCCAAAATCTGTAGAGCCGGGTGGATGAAGAGCTGGGGCCCAGGGTGCAGGGAGAGGCCTGGGGCTGGGTTCACCCCAGGCTAAGGGCAAAGGTAATGCACACAGGCTTCCCGGGCAGCACTGGGACTACTTGTACAGGGTGCCACTTGCCAGTGTGCACAGCTGGGCCTGGCCCACCGCTCCCTGGGGTTGAGAAGACCTACTGACCGGGTCAGGGGGAACCTCACTGCCCGAAAAAGAGGTGACGAAGGAGTGGGCCAGGGTCCCGGCCACTGGAACACCCCGGAGCTGCCCGGCAAGCACATTGCTGCTGCTGTCGAAGCCTGGGAGAGGGAGTCAGGCCACATTGGGGGACTCCAGGTGGCAGGAGGATCCTGGGGGGCCTCCTCCTTCCCAACTCTTGCGTCATGCCCCCCAAGCCCTCACCACCCAGGTAGCTGTAAGTGGAGGCCGTGAGACCCCCGTCGGGGCCCTGAGCGCGCCGCAGGCCCATCTCCAGCAGTCGCTTCTCTGGCCCGGCGATCAGGCGCAGCCTGGCTGCGTTGGTGGCCACGAGGCTGTGAGAGCCAGGGACCAGGGAAACCGAGTGAGGGTCGAGAAGCCTCCCAAGTGGACAGAGTTACCTGGGGCTTAGAGTTTCAGCCCCAGAGCTCCACTCTCCCCCACTCCCTCCTGGAGAGCCCTCACAATGGGAAAGAGAGGTCAATCCTCTGGGGACACCTCGCATTATGTCCACGTCCAGGGAGCTCTGCCCCAGGAACCACACCTTCAAGGGCCCGCCCCTCAGTCGTGCTCTCCCCCGCCCCGTCCCACCTGGCCTAACCCTAGCCCTAACCCACCTGGCATAGCTGACCAGGCAGAGCAACGGTGTCTCGAGCAGCTGCACCACCAGGAGCGGCCCGGACACCTGCAGCAGCGGCACCTGAGGGGAAGGCTGTCAGCTCCGCCGCCTGACCTGTCCCCCTCAGGCCACCCCCTCCCTCCCGCTCACCCTGCACTCACGCCAGGGAAGGCGAGGGAACCCTCGGGCAGGGCCCGCACCGTCACCCCAGAGCAGTCGAGGGCCCGAAGGTGCTGGAAGAACGCGGGGTCCGTGTCTGGGGGCAGCATAGAGGCCAGGAACTGCACGTCTGGGGGCGAGAGGCACAGTGCACTGGGGCGAGTGCGGGGCCGGGGGTCGGGCGGGGGGCGTCCCGTCGGACTAGGAGAGTCCTGGCGGTGTCATGGGGGCGGCCCGGGGCGCTACCTGCGTCCTGCAGACGGAAGGCGAGCAGGAAGCGCACGCAGTCGCGCAACCCTGCGGCCAAGGCGAAGGCGCCGCCGAACGGGCAGCGGCGGAAGAAGAGCTCGAATTCGGCGTGGTCCCGCGCCCGGCCCGCACGCCAGTAGCCCAGCGCCATGGTGGCCTGGTAAAGGTCGGTGAGCAGCGGCCGAGCCGCCGCGCGTCCCTCGGGGTCCTGCTCCGTGGCCATCGGCTCCGCTAGCCGGGACTCCGGCTCCGCCGCCATCGGCTCCGCTCGCCCGAACTCCGGCCCGGCCCGCCCCGTGACGCTCCCAGCCAATGGCCACGCTCCCGGGACCCCGCCCCGGCGGCAGCTTATCGTAGGGCTGGGCGCAAAACGGTCTCGGGACACACGAGGGTGGGGACACCCGGGGATGACCGCCTTTACAGGCAACGGGAGAGGGCGGAGCGGGTCTGATGGTTTCCGGACACTCCTGAGAGTTCGCAGCAGCTGGACCCCGGATGGTGTGGGGGACCCCAACCCCATCTCAGGGCCGACAGCCTCTTTGAGCATGGCCAGGTTGTGGTCGCCAGGTAGGATCCCCCCAGCAGCCTGGGTCTCCTCCCCCTAGCCAGGCAAGGAGGTGCAGCTCAGGACTTGCCACAAGGTTCAGAGGGCAGAGGACAAATCCAGCCAGACTTCATCCCCACCCCACCCAGCAGCCAGCCAGCCTCTTCCCCAGGCCTGGGGAGGACAGGACAAAGGCTGAGCCTATCAGAGCTCGCAGAGCAGAGCCAGGGAGCCCAAATGGGACCCCCAACTGCCCAGGATAGGGCAAGGGGGCCGCTTACCCACCCCCAGCTGACACCAGAAGGGCCTTCTATGGCTGAGGCCCAGTCCGTGTCCCATGGTGGTGGCTTTTGTTGGGGGCCTGCACTCCATGCCCCACAGTTAATTCTTGAAAGCTATGAGGGCTGAGTCAGGGCCTGCCACCCAGGGAGTAATCCATTCCCCTGTGTCGAGGGGCCTGGAGGACAGCAGCTGATTGGAAGTAACCACACCCACACCCTGTCACCCCAGTACAGACACTGGCTATAGCCATGCTGGCCTACAGTCCCGGAGAGGGACCACCACCAACACAAGTGCTGACCACGCAGGGTTGCTGGGGAAGGCGGTAGGCAAGACCAGATGGGAATGAGGCTGGGCTCAGGTCTCCAGTAAGTGGAGACACAGATCACAGAGCGGAAGGGGCTGTGCCCTCCAGCAGCCATGGAGAAAAGTCTGGACTTCATCCTAAGGATTGTGGGATGTGTGCAGGGTTTCCAACAGGTCAGGGGTGGGGCACAGGGCCCTGGTCACAGCAGCAGGGCCTTGTCTCCCCTGGACGGTTCCAGGCGTGCCCTTTTGCTGCCGTGGCCATGGCACTAAGGGATGCATAGAGTGGAGAAACTGAGCTAACAGATTCTGTTTCAGGCTTAAAGAGCATGAACTGGACTTGTCATGTGTGACAGAAAGCCTGCAGAAGGAGGAGCTGGAGTTGTGGGAGTGGCCGGGACACGGACAGAGACGAGCAAGCAGAGGTGAGCCAGGGTGAGGGCTCAGGGCCATGAAAGGCCAGAGAGGTCACGGACAATGGGAGTGGCAGGGCGTCAACAGGGCTGAGACAAGAAAGGAGACATAGGCTGAGCACAAGGCCTGCCCACTGAATGACCAGAACAGGAGCCAAAGGGCCAGAGACTCAGTCTTTAATCGTGGCAGGGCCGCACTCACGCACGCACTCACACACGCACGTGCTCATCAGGCTTCAGATCTTGTTGAAAGCTGCGATGTCAACACTCTGCACCTGAGGAGAGGTAGGGGCAATTACCATGGCTCCTGCTCCCTGCCTGCCCCACTGAGGCAGGGCAAGCATGCAGGGTGTAGCCCAGGGTCACCCAGGCTCCCATCCTGCCCCTCTCCCCTGCCGGCCACTCACATGCTCCTCAAACTTGGTGATCTCTTCTTCCAGCAAGTCGGTCCCCACCTTGTCGTCCTCCACCACACACTGGATCTGCAGCTTGCGGATGCCATAGCCCACAGGCACCAGCTTGGAGCCCCCCCAGACCAGCCCATCCAGCTGGATGGAGCGCACACAGGCCTCCAGTTGGGCCATATCTGTCTCATCATCCCACTGTGGGCAAGAGATGGAAAGGTTGGGGGCCAGCCACCCTCAGAAGCCTCCAGATCCCTGCCTGCCCCTGCATCAAACCACTGAGTATACAATTCTGTTTCCTTACAGGGCCCCCAGAAAACAATCCAAATTTATACCTGCCCTATCTCCAAGTTTTTGTTCATATCCCAAGATTTCTAGACTTGGCTTTAAAATCCCACCAGGACCCAGGATGGCAGGGGGGAGTGTCAGAGACTGAGCCACAAGGAACCCCCTGCCCCTGGGCAGCCGAGGGCCTGGCCTGGCCTCCCTGAAGCCCGGCCTGCCCCACTCACAGGCTTGACGTCCAGCAGGATGGAGGACTTGGCCACCAGCACCGGCTTCTTGGCCTTCTTCTCTGCGTACTGCCGCAGCCTCTCCTCCCGCAGCCGGGCTGCCTCCTTGTCCTCCTCCTCATTGTCACTGCCAAACAGGTCAATGTCATCGTCCTCATCATCTTCGGCTGGTGTGGCCGCCTTCTTGGTTGGAGGCTCCACTTGGCGCATGGGAGACACGTGCTGTCACGGGTAGGGATGGGGGTGCTGAGCCTCCTGGGCTGGCTGTGCTAAGCCCTTCTCCCACTCCTGTGGACCCGAGCTGTGCACCCCACACGCAGGGCCCTGGGGAGAGCTAAGAACTGCCCCCAACCTGCCTTGGGGTTAGCCTAGGCATCACTATAAACCCTCATAGATGCCTTGTAGACACCAGGACCCCAGCCACAAGCTCCTCATTGCTGCCAGGCCAGCACAGTGCCAGATGTGGGGTCCTTCGGTCTCTGGGGAGGGTACTTACCTGGGTCTGCGGGGCTGTGGCCCGGTGGGTGGGTGAGCTCTTCTCTAGCACACTCAGCCGGGCCTCCAGCTTGGAGAGGGCCTGCTGCAGATCCTGTACCACTGTGGGGGCAAGGGGACAACGGTCAGGTGGCAGGGGCTGGGGCTGGGCCCCCACCTGTCAGGCCCCAGGCCTCACCGCCTCGCAGGCTCTGGTTCTCCACTTCCAGGCTGGCGATCCGGGTGATGAGCTCACTGTGGTCTCCACCAGGCCCACTGGAGGCCCCGGGGCCTGTGCTCTGCAAGGCAGTGGGAGGGGAAGGGGTGGGCTCAGCGCCCTAGCCTGCTCCTAGAGTCCCCCTCATTCATAGCTGCTTGCAAGCAGAGCTCTGAGGCTGGTTGGGAGGCCTGGGTCCACCTGCCATGCTCAGGACTGTGTTGGACTCACAGAACGAAGACCCAGGAAGCCCATCTCTGCTGACACCTTGCCCATCTTTACTGGTGCAAAGACCTGTTGACCTCAGAGAGGGTGGCTGCCACAGATCATGGTGACATTCTCAGCTAAACAGAAATCATAAGACTCAGAACCACCCAGTGATGGGGGTAGCACAGAGCTCAGAGCCATGGCTGCTGCTGCCCACAAAGCCCTGTTGAGTAGCTAGGCTCAGAAGCTGGTTAGAGGCAGCAGCAGGGCTTACAGTCCCAGGGCACCCTGGCTTGGGCCTCAGGGGGACCAAGAACATTGACTTGTACTCTAAGCAGGAGGGGAGAGTAGCTGAGGGCCCTGTGGGACAGGAACAAAGGTGGCAGCCAGCCCTGTACCACACCTCCCCCAGGTACACACCTGCTGTCTTGCTTATCAGGCCAGGCTTTGAAGGCTCTGGGTGACAGTTTGCCACAGCTTAGCCTGATTTATGCCTCAGGGACTCGGCCAGACTTCTAGCCTTCTGTTCTCAGACATTGGACAGTCCTTAATGAGGATCTACATGCACACGATGGGGTCATTCCATGCAGCCCACACCCCAAGAGAAATGGTCTAATGACAGGGTTTACCTGGCCACATGGAGGCCCTAGCCTGACCCCACCTAGGCAGGTTCCCCCAGGACGTCCTCTCTGTGGAGGACCTGATGGGCAGACAAACACGCTCCTTGCAGAAGGCACCAGACACAGGCCTGTGACCATTGTGCAGCATGTCAGCCCAGCCCTGGGGACCTTCTGTCAGTCCTTGGGACAACACCGAGTGAGGACTGCTTATGTGTCTGGCTCCCCCTATCTCGAGGGTGTGGGAGCTGAGCCCCAAAGATCACGTTCTGAGCAGGGCTGGGATCACAGTGAGTGTGGCCCCAGGAGGCCTACCTGGCAGCGAGGACAAGAGGAAATGGTCAGGGAAAGCCCAAGGCTGGCAGGTGCCTATATGTGAACCATATGAGGTAGGGGGACACTGGAAGAGGCCTAACAGCCTCGGGGCAGAAGCTGGAGCACAGGAGGGCCAGGGCCAGAGTACCCAGGCCTTACCCACCCCATGCAGCAGGCTGAGGACAGGGAAAAGGTCCCCTCTGGAAGAGGAGGCACAAATCAGCACACAACCTGGGAACGGTGAGTGGGAAAGGGTCTCATTTCCAAGTCTCCAGAGGGCCAGGGCTGGTGCTAGGCAAGCCAGGTTCCAGGGATGGCAGAGAAGGGACAAAAGCCTAAGGACCTGGTAAGGGAAGGGCCCACACAACAGGGGGTGGTGTATTTCACTACCGCCCGGCTGTGCCTGCCACCAGGCCAAAGCCCACAGCTCTCAGGCCAGGTGGGAGGCTCCACCGCCCTGTCAGCCTCCCACCTACTCTGACTCAGTGGGACCGAGGATCCAGGGCCCCCAAGCAAAGCTTCAACGGGGTAGGCCTAGGTCACCTGGCTCAGTCAGCCTGAGAGCTGGTCACAGAGCGCCACCTCATGGCCTCGGGCAAAGCACCACAGGCAGATGATCGAATCTAACCCTGTGCCCCATCAAGTACAGCTCCTGGAGCCTCTAGGTTCTCAAGTCCCAGTGTCTGCAGGGCACCACCCCCACCCAAATCCAAAATGGGGATGGTCCACAATGTCCTTCCTGGGACCCTGATACAAGTTGAATAATGTCCCTTCAGATTCATATGCTGGTGCCCTAACCCCTAGTACCTCAGAAAATGACCTTATTTGGAAATAGAACCTTTACAGAGTAATCAAGTTAAAATGAGATCACTGGGGTGGCCCTAATCCAGTATGACTGGTGTCCTTATAAGAGGAGATTAGAACACACATGCAGAGGGACAACCATGTGACAACACGGAGAAGAAGCCATCTACAGCCAAGGACAGAGGCCTCGGAAGGAACCAGCCCTAATCCACCTGCCCCTCAAACTTCTAGCCTCCAAAACTGTGAGAAAATAAATTGTTTAGGCCACCCAGTCTGTGATACTTTGTTATGTACCCTAGCAAACCAGTCCCTCAGCCCTAATAGCATGCCTACCTGCTTATCCCAAAGACCATGACCTGGCAGCTGACCCCAACAGAGCCAGGGCAGGAAGAGTTCTGCTGAGCCCCAACCCCTACCTTCTGGACACTGGAGCCCAATACACCTGGCCTAGGTGCAAAAATCTGTGCCAACTTGATCCCGTGTCTTCCTGGCCTGAATTTGACTGGGTGCCTAGGGGATAGGCTAGGAGTAGGTACACTCCAACCAGCTGTGGCAGACAGAATTATGGTCCCCGTGTTAAAAAAAAAAAATTATGGTCCCCAAAGAGGCCCACATATTAACCCCCAGAGCCCATAAATACACCATCTCCTATCCAAAAAGGGATTCAGCAGATGTCATTAAGTTACGGATACAAAGATGGATGATCCTGGATTACCTGGGTGGGTACAATGTAATCACAAGGGGGAAGGAAGGATGGAGGGGGAAGGGGGCACAAGAGAGGGCAGGAAGGGGAGACTGGACAGAGCACAGGCTAAGTGATAAGACAGCTGCCTAGAAGCCACAAGCCAAGGAATGTGGCCCCTTCCAGCTCCCAGCTTCTAGGAACTGGAAAAGACAAGGAATGGATTTTCCCCCTAGAGTCCCCAGAAGGAACACAGCCCCCTGCTGACACCTTGATTTTGTTCCACAAGATGCACTTCAGACTCCTGACTTCCAGGACTGTGAGATGATACATTTGTGCTGTTTTTAAGCCACCAAAATTTGTTACAGCAACATCAATTGGAAACTAACACAGATCTTGGCCCCTGGAAGTGGGTGCTGCTGGAACAAACATCTAAAAATGGAATTGGGCAGTGGGTGAGGCTGGAAGAACTTTGAGGAGTGTGACAGAAAATCCTAGATTTCCTTGGGCAGACTGTCAGCAGAAATCCAGGTGTTAAGGACTCTGCTAATGGAGACTCGGAAAGTGAGGAGCAAAGTAAACACCATCTTAGAAAACAGCCTCAACTGCCACTAACATAGTGTTGGTAGAAAGGGGGACGTTAAAGGTGTTGCTGCCAAGGGCTCTGATGGCACGTTACTGGCGACTGAAGGACGCAAATAGTGGCAGATAGTTTGGCTGAACTGTGTCCTGCAGCGCCTGGAAAGCACGGCTTCTAAGGGATCACTTTGATCTTTAGCTGAGGAGATTTCCAAGCAGTGTGGAAGGTGCAGCCTAGTTTCTCCTTGCTGCTTATAGTAAGATGGGAGAGGAAAGAGACTGAGGGAAGAACTGTTAAGCAAAAAAGAACCAGGACTTGATGCTCTGGGAAATTCTCAGCCTCTCCAGATTGTAAAAGACACTAAGACATCAGGAAAGCACGTTCTGGAGAGAAAGCCAAGGGTGGCCGGACAGCCTTTTGCTAGTGCCTGGGAAAAATCAAAGGCCAGAGTATTTGAATGGTCACCCAGAGATCAGGTGTGCTACTCATGGATGCCTGAGGCCATTTTAGAAAGCAGGATTAGAGATGGAGTTATCTAGTAAAGACTTTTGGAGGAAGGTCTTATCTAATGGTGTGGACCCATGACATACTAAACAGACCTACAAAATTCTTGAGAATTTTGTACTAGCAGAAACACTCACTTTGGGAGGCCGAGACAGGAAGATGGCTTGAGCCCAAGAGTTCGAGACTAGCCCGAGTAACATAGTGAGATCCCATTTCTACAAAAAATTAAAAAATTAGTTGGGCATGGTGGTGTGCGCCTGTAGTCCCAACCACTTGGGAGGCCAAGCCTGGGAACTGCATCGCGTCACTGCATTCTAGCCCAGGCGAGAGCCAGACCTTGTCTCTTGGAAAAAAGAAAACACTGCCAGCTTGGACCAAAAAGAGACAGGATAAAATCAAAGAAGCCTGGTTGCAGATCCTCAAAATTCAGCAGAAAAGCTGAAAAAATCTCTCAGCTGCAAAGAGATGCTGTCTCTCATGAACAGTGACTCTGGAGTGGGCCTGGGGCGGCAGAGGACTATCCCCAGGCCTTCAAACCTGTGCCTGGCTGGATTGTGAAAACTGCTTGGGACAGTGATACCTTTTTCCTTCCACTTCTTCCCACTCTGAATGGGACTGTCTGTAACTTTTACCCTCTATCTGTCCCACAATTGTATTTTGAGAGCAGATAACTTGTTTTCCAGGTTTATTGGTCCACGGCTAGAGAGGAATTTTGCCTCAGGATGGACCGTACAGGACTCCCCCATGCCTGCTTCAGTTGAGATTGTGGACTTTGAGTTGATGCTGTAAGGGGCTGAGACTCTTAAAGATGTTGGTGTGGAGCAAATGCATTTTACACATGAGGATACGAATTTCTGGATGCCCATGTCACAACACCCACTTGTGAATCTGTTACCTTCCATGGGAAAAAAAAAAAATTAGTAAATATGATGAAATTCAGCATTTTGAGATGGGGAAAGTATCCTGGACCCAGGATCCTGGACAGCCTGAAACAATCACAGAATCCTTACAAGTGACAGAGGAAAGCAGGGGGGTCAGAAAAACAGATGTGAAGACAGAAGCAGAGGTTGGGAGTGATGAGATTGTCTACTGGGGCCACAAGCCAAGGAATGTGGGCAACTTCTAGAATCCAGAAAAGGAAGGAAACGGATTCTCTCCTGGAGCCTCCAGAAAGAATGCAACTCTGCTGACACTCAGGATTCAGTCCTATGAGACCAATCTCAGACTTCTGACCTCAATGACTATAAGATAAATGTGTTGTTTTAAGCTGAGTGTGAAGCTTGTGGTAACCTGTTACAGCAGCCAATAGGAAACTAACATCTAGCTCTCAATGCCAGGACACCACTGCACCCCAGAGGGTCAACAAAGTCCCAACTCCTCTGGAGTAGGAAGCCAGAGCAGCAGGTCTATCACCTCCTAAAGGACATGCCTACCCCTCTCCCCTCCCCACAGCCAGGCCATGGCACAGGGTTGGACATAACTGCTGCCTCCCACTCCTGATCTTGGTCTGGAACCTGGAGGCTAAGCAGAGCTGCAGGGCCCCTATCTGGGCCTCAACTTCAAGATGCTGCTGCTTCTATGATCTGAATTCCACACACCCTGTGAAACCACTACCCTTTCCCTGGGCAGGGCAGGACCTAGAAGGGACTGGAGGAGGGACCAGCAGACATGCATGTTCCTTCAGCAGGGAACAGGCAGGAAGGACCAGGCCTCTAAGCACATGCGCCGTGGGATGACACCACTCAGCCCAGGCTCAGCCCACAACCAGTACGGCAGAAGCGGCCAGGGTGACTGCCAATGAGCAGGCAAGAGAGGCGTGCAAAGAATGCAAGAATAAAAACGTTCTTCATGGCAGTCTGGACCTGAAGCTGCATGTCCCACAAAGATACCGTGCTACACACCTCACCCTAACTTTGTTCCGAAGGGCCAAAATAATCAGCAGTACTGGGGGGAGGGCAGGGGGGAATCAGACATGCTGCTTGGCCAAGTGCGAGCCTGCGAGTACATGGGCTGCGGGTACTCACTCCGGCCAGGGATTTCTGGATGTTCTCTCTGGCTCTGGCAATGTCTCGGAGGATCACGCTGGCGCCGTTCTCCTGCAGACAATGCAGAAAGAACCAGTCCTTTTTTTTTTTTTTGGTCAAAAAAAAAAGTTTAATTAAAAAGTCAACCAAAAAACCCCAAGAACCTTCACAGAGAGAGAACAAGAAAGTATCGTGCAGAATGAAAGCTCAGCAGGATAGCAAAAAGCAGAAGGTACCCGAGGCACTGATGCTGGGCCGGGTGAACATGCTCTGCAGGGGACTCTGTGTGAGGCCTGGCCCTGCACAAGTACCTGTCCACTCGTGGGCCCAGCTGCCTGGGAGATGGCAGGACCAGGAGCCAAGAGTAGATCCGGCACTAGAGGAACCAGCCAAGGCCACCTTCCAAAGAGCCCACTCTCAGCACCATGAGCCGGGCCACTCAGGTGCAACATGCCTCAGCCCTCCTGGTGCCACCAGGGTTCCCCTTCCGGCCCAGCCAGGGCCAGACCTCCTGCGTGCCTCAGTGACTCCTGCTAGGCAGCAGACCCACCCAACGGCCCCAAGCACAGCTCTCACCTGGCGGGAGGAGCCGGCCACAGGCCCGTTCATCTGCTCATAGAATTTCCTTTCTGCATCGTCATACTTGAACTTGTCGAACCAGATCTTCTCATGGATTAAGAAGTTTGTAGCCATTTTTCTGCTGGCATGGGGAGGAGAGGCTAAGTCAGCACTGCTGGGAGGAGAGAGCTCAAGATAGCCCCCAACCTCACCCTTCCCCAGAGCCTCTTGGAATAGCCCAGAATAAGCAGGGTGCACTATGACACCCGACCCCAGTCCCAGACACCAGCTCTGGGCCATCCCAGTCCTGGGTGACAAAGGCTCCAGGCCCCAGGGGAGAACTTAAGTGGTCTCAACATGAAGACCCCCGAGCCTGTATGGCCCCCACCCAGAGCATCCCCAGCGTGGCCCCCTTCAGTGCTGAGGCAGGGTCCCCAGGCCTGCCCTCCAGATCAATGGCTCTCAGACTGTGGTCCAAGAACCTCCGGGGGTCCCCAAGGTCCTATATTCAATCACACGAGCCTGGATTTGTATCAGTAAAGCAACATATACCAATGGCTTGAGTGCAGAAGCAAGTATGAGAATCCTGCTGTCTCCAATTAAGCCAGACACTGCAGATCTGCAAAAGTATAAAGCAACGCCACTCTGCTCACTGTTTTTTTTTTTTTTTTTTTTTGAGACAGGGTCTTGCTGCTGTCACCCAGGCTGGAGTGCAGTTGCGTCATCGTAGCTCACTGCAGCCTCCAACTCATGGGCTCAAGCAATCCTCCTGCCTCAGCCTCTGGAGTAGCTGGGACTACAGGCGTGCAACATCACACCCTGCTGATTTTCTTCTTCTTTTTTTTTTAACAGAGACAGGGTCTCCCTATATTGCTCAGGCTGGTCTTGGACACCTGGCCTACCAAAGTGCTGGGATGACAGGCATGGGCCACTGTGCCCAGCTGAATTTTTTGGTATGGGAAAAGTATTTTTCATAAAAACGTGTTATTAACATGTAACAAGCTTACTCTTCTTCAACAAGTAAGTACTTTCAGCTTGATTGCTAATGTGGTATAAAACCAATAGATAAAATGAATGCCCTTTCGAGTCCCAACACCAAAAAGCTTGAGAACTGCTGCTCTAGACCAGGGACTATGGCCCATGGGCCAAACCTACCCACCATCTGTTTTTGCGAAGAACATTTCACTGGCACCACTGCAGCCACCACTGCTGCACCACACACCCACTGCTTAGCAGAGCAGAGGAGCTGGGCAGAGTCCAAACCGCCTTCCCCCTCAAACAGCCAAGCCCCTCTTGCCACCCCACTGAGTGCGACAGCAACACCCTGATCCCCATCCCACACTGCTGCCAATCTCTGTGCCGAGTCCCCTGGGGCAATCACTGGGCCTTACCAAGTGTCCCCTCGGCACAGTGACATCCCCCCACCCCACTTACCCCTCACCCAGGAGGCTCTTGGTAAGGAGCCAGGGCATTACATACACTGAGGCAAGTCAGGGTAGGAGGTGACCATGGGGTCCCTGCCCCACGACCCAGGAGTCTGGGGACCAAGGCTAGCACTGCTTTGGACCCTCAGCTGGGACCCTCCAAGTCCTTCCTTGACCCAGCCTGTCCCATCCCCACGACTCCCCTCCCCAGCAGGGAACTGTGGCCTGGCACCACCACCTCTTTGCCCTGTCTTCCCTTCTACATCCAGCCAACCTGCCCACAGCTGGCAGGGGAGTGTGGCCAGGCCCTGCTCCCCCAGCCCTTCCCCAGGCCCCTGGCCTCCAGAGACCACTGCTGGGGCTGCACTCACCCACGCAGGAGCAGCGGGAGATCAGACAAACTGGGCATCCCTCACACGGAGGCCACCTGACCAGCCATGTGCTCTTGTATCTGAGATGCCCATCTTCCCTCAGAGGTGGTTAAAAACGACAAGGGAAGCTGGGGGGTGGACAGGAGGCGCAGGCACAGACACACTGGCTCCCACATCTCATCCCCAGGGGAGGACAGGGGCCAGAAACCCAGCTTCAACACTCCCCACCTGCCCTGTGAGTAACCTCATCTTCTCAGCCCTGGTATGTGATGGCCAGAGGGGATATGGGGAATTGCCCAGCCAAAGGGAGAATGCTACATGGGGCAGATTCTTCTCTGTGCTGTTCCATTCCCTGCCCCAACACTTACAGCCCAGAATTTTGTAACCCTCAAGGGGTAACCCTGGAAGCCACACTGCCCCACGGACACAGCACTACCCTTGCTCAACCCGCGCCTGTATTCAACTTAGCCGGGTCCAGAGGTCTTGGGGAGAGCACCCAACCAAGGCAGGGCAGGCTAGGGGAGCACGAGGAGCCCCAGCCTGGGACAGCTGTCCCTGGGCCCATAGCCCAGGTCAGGCCGAGCACCTGCCCAGCACGTTTCTCCTACTTGGGTCTTAGGCTGGATAAGGATGGGCCAGACCGGGGACCAGGCCGGTGAGCCAGGGAGGCAGCTTCAAGGCGCCAGGCCATGCGCAGGGCCTCTGCAGTGTGGTGACGGCACTCGGCGCTGTCATAGGTGGGCTTGCTGAGCCAGGGGGCCTCCGCATCCTTGTGCAGGAAGTACCAGCAGGGCAAAGCAGAAGGGGCCTCCCCGTCGACCCGCCGTGGCCCAGCCCGCTTGCTCCCCATAGCGTTGCGGACTCGCCGGTCTTTGCGGACTCTCCGGGCGCCCTCAGCCTGGCCAGCTCGCTCCTGCAGGCGCACCTTCCCAGGGGGATGGCCATCAAACAAGGCCTCGTAGAAGCCCCTCTCAGCAGCGTCATACCGGGGCTTCTCCAGCCACACCTCCCGAACCAGTGCCTGCAGGCTGCCTAGTGGGGGCTGGCCATTGGCTGGCGGGTTGGGCTGGCAGGCCAGGTAAGGGGTGGCCACCCACTGGCCCGTGTCAGGAGCCCCCTGCCTGCAGCTCTCCTTGGCGGCAAGCAGCAGGGCCTGAGACCACTCCACGAAAGCCCGCTCAGCCTGATCGAAGGAAGACTTGTTGACCCAGATCCCCCAGGTCACGTGGTGGCAGGCCACCTGGCTGCCATGGGTGCAGGGACCCCACGGGGCTGGGGCAGACGGCTGGGTTGCCTGTGCTGCCGCGTCTGCCAGCCTCTGGCGGTAGGAGCTCTCTGCCTGGTCGAAAAGTGACTTGTCCAGCCACACGTGGTCAGCGGACAGGCCCACAAGAGCCAGGTCTGCATGGCCGAGCCAGCTCTTAGGGGAGCGCTTCCGCTTCTTCTGCAGGGGCTTCCTGCCATTGTGGCTCCTCCCAGGATCACTCCTGCAGTTGGTGTCAGGGGCCTCTGCCTCGCTGCCATCCTTGGTGTCCTCCTGGCTGGGCCCATTCACAGCTGGCACCTCGGCCAGTAGCAGCTGGGCAGAGGCGGCGGCTTGCGTGGCCTTGTGCTCGTAGAAGCGCCTCTCGGCTTCCTCATACTTGTGCTTGTCCTCCCACACGGTCTCCAGGGCACAAGAGGCCTTCCCGCTCCTCATCTTCCAGGCACAGCATTAAAAAGCAAGCACAAGAAGGTAGTTGCAACACAGTGGAACACACAGCAGCGGCTTGCTCAAGGCCCCCGCCTCCCCATGCCCTCCCTCATCGGGGAATGAAGTGGGCATTGGAGATGCTTCCCAGGGGTCCATGAGATCACATTCAAGGACTCAACAGTCAAATCTAAGTGGGGAACTTGTTTTGTAAAGCAAAAAATAATATACATATGTATGTTTATATATATTTTAACTGCAAAACTTGACTTCACTAATCTGACATGCCCCACAGCTCTCCAAAAGGGGTCTAGGGAATATTATTTTCAAGCCTCGATGGCCATACAAAAACGTTTTCTTATAGAACCTCCAAGCTGCTAGATAAAATATAAACAGATGTGCTCAGTTAAATTCGACTTTAATCCTGTGTTTCTGTGTAGGCTAAGCCCATACACGTCCCAGAGGCAGCTCCCCCCGAGGACAGGCAGCCTTACTATGCGTGCTGCCTGTGCCTGCCACATTGCTGCCCCCCAGAGTGGTGTGCTCCTTCCGTGCAGCTGCAGGTGTTGGAAAAGGGGCAGCCTCTTTGTAGGTGTGATTTTCCTTGCCAGGGATGGGCTGGGCAGCCAGGAGTGCCCACTCTGCAGTCTGGCAGGGTCAAAGCAACATGAGACACCAAGAAGGATGCTGTGGCCAGCAGAGAAAGGAAGCAGCAGGCAGTGGCCGGCTCCAGGCTCCTCCCCACACTGGGGTCCACCAAACTAACGGGGTGCCAAGGGAATCTCGGAGTCCTAGTACGGCAGTGGCAGGGTGTGGGGCTCTTCCCCTGTGGGGCCATTAGCTGACTGCCACAGGACTCCCCCCCAGCCATACCCAACTCTGGGCCCTGCTTTCCAAAGCAGAAAGGATCTGGGCCTAACCAACACCTAGGAGCTAACTTGAGAGAGGGCTGCACAGTTGTCCCTTAGATATCTCTGTCATCCTGCTGCTTCTGTGGGCTTGTCTGGTGGAGCCTAAGGGAGGGTGGACCAGCCAGGCCCCCACCCAGAGGGAGGGCAGCCTTTGGCCTGGATAGCAAACCCTTACCACCACTGGCTGTGGGGTCCGCGACCCTTTCCTGACACACCCACCCCCAACAAAACCAAAGCCCGTTCCAATGACCCCAGTGGGATGTTTCACTGTCTAAATTCCACACCGGCAGAGAGAACTGAGAGAACTTCTAGGAAGGTCTCTGCATTGTACTTTGAAATCCGTTCTCTAAGTGGAGTGCTGAGGCTCTTTAACAGCATGCTGTCAGAATCCTACACCCATCCCAGCGGGGCGTTCTAACTGTACCAGTGAGGAGCTGGGCCAGGAGGCCATAGGGGCCCTGGGTGGAGAGGTCCCTGGGCTGCCCCTTCACTCCTCTTCCCCAGGCTGGGGCAGCACTTACCAAGGCCGGGCTGACAGACAGAGGCTGGGTCAGAGTGGGAGGCAGCAGAGGAGCCAGCAGGCAGGGCATTGTGACATCACCCACTGTCACTGAGGGGCAGTGGGCTGGCCTGGAGTCACAGGTCAACCTGGCAGGGCCTGTCGGCCCTCTAACCTCTCTGGCCACCAAGTTCTCCAGTTTCCATGGAGCAGCACAGGTCTGGCCTACCCCCAGTCCCTGCAGCAGTGCCCACTAAGCTGACCCTCAGTGCCAACACCCTGCCAGGCCTTACTGGCCTAAGTGACCTTAGACCAGGCTCCTGGGGCTCTCCCAGTGGGGGTAGGAGCTACACCTTAGGGAGGGAAAGTCAATTCTAAGGGCCACACAGGGTACCCCCATGCTGCTGCCCACCCCCAGCAAACCCTGTTCCTTTGCTTGACAGATGAGGACACTACAGCCCTGTCTGGCAGATTGAGCCCTGCACAGGTGGTGGTGGGGCTCCCTCAGCAGTGAGGGCTGGGGAGGGAGGGGCTCCCCAGATCATGTGAAGGGAAACACAGAGCACTGGGACAGGTGGGTACTCACTTTTGCTCTGACCTCCTAGGACAGCATGAAGGAAAAGCAGCAAGGTTAGAGGCAGTCAGAAAGGCTAACCATGTCAGACACATCAGTCGGGCAGCTCGAGCAAGCTGGAGGGCCTTTTCAGAAGCTGCTTTGTCGAGGTGGCGTGGAGGTGAGTGGTGGAGATGGAAGGCGAGCACCAGACAGACCCATCACCACAATCCCAGGTGGCGGCCAAGTCCACTCGCTCGAAGCAGCGCTGCTCCGTCATCCCTTGATAGGGTAGCTTTTGGGGCCATTAGCTGAAGCCCAGGTAGGCCCTGGGGGACAAGCAGGGACCACCATCTGAGCCACTTTCACCCGAGCCCAAGGCAACCTGGGACAGGGCAAGCGAGCACCCGCAGGTGCCCCTGGGCCTGCTGAAGGAGGGCTGGAAGACAACATGGACCCTCCAAGTGGAGGGCAGCCCAGGCCCAGCCAGCCCTGAGGGGTGTGTTTTGCTGACACCGAGGCCCAAGGCCCCCACTGGGACAGGGCCTCTCACTCAGCAGGGGCCACTGTCAGGCAGGGCTGCCACCCAAGGGCCCTAGCACAAGCTGCGAAAGGCTCTCAAGGGACACAAAAGCACCAGACTTGCTCTCTTCAGTGTGCACAAAGGGATGAGACCTTCATCCATTTACACCTGGGCTGGAGATGCTGCCCCCAGTCCCGTAAGAGCCACCTCATGACAACAGCGGGAGAGGCCAGCTGGGTGCAGGTAACAGCACCCAGCCACCCACCCCTGCCCTGGTAGGACTAGGCAGGAGGGGCCACCCCTGCCGCTGAACTTCCAGAGAGCCCTAGGGATCTGTCTTCCTTCTCCAATGGGAGCCCTGCCTGCCTATGCAGGAGCCGGGTGGAGACAAGGATGCTGAGAAGATGAGGAGGCAGCTGTCCCATGGGAGCAGCAAGAAACCCTGTGCTGTGCCCTGCAGGGAAGAGGCTCTCAGGAGACAACAGTGAGCCATGCTGGGGACCCAGGGGCCATGCCTGTCACTTAGAAGGCTGGCCAGCAGAGAGCCTCCCAGGATAGGCAGCATAGCCCCAGCACCCCTGAGCATGCACGCGTGCCAGGAGGACCTGTTGCACTGACAGCACCACCTCTGCAGATAGAAGAGCAAGTTCAAGTTTAAGCACTTCCTTGAAGATACACACAGGCAAAAACCTACAGCTCTCCAGTAAGAATGGCCCAAAAGTGTGAAGCAATCAATGATGTTTCCCACAAATGGTCAGCCCTTCTCTCTTGCAGTTTATCTGGCAGCAGCAGGAGCTTGCTGTAAAGAGAATGGAGCACAGGGAAGAAAGCCAGCTGCCAGAGAAGCAGTCTCGCAAACACCAGAGCCAGGACCCAGGGGAAAATGACCTGAGTCCCCTGCTCTGCTCCTGGAAGCAGGCTGGACTCTAGGCTGCAGGGCCTACCACCAAAGCCAGCTCCCCTCTCTCAGGCCCTCCAAGAGCTCTCTCCTGAGAGGCAGACAGTGCCCAGAGCACTTAAGCCTCCATTAGTTGCCCAGGGTTCAAGGGTGCTGTGGGGATCAAGCTCTGGGAAGTCCTCGTGGCTACCAGGACCCGTGGGTGCAGGCTGCTGACGTGGCCCTGGCACAGGTGGACCCCAGCAGGACTCACTGAGCAAACTCCTGGCCTTCCACAGCAAGGAGGCAGGCAGGTGCTCCAAAGTACGTGCCAAGGATTATGGGGGGTGCACGGTCCTCATAGCCTGTGCTGACCCACAAGGGCATTTCTTCCAGAGCCAGCACAGGACCTGGCAGCAGCCCCTGCCCAGGACACTCTTGGTTAGAGGACTTGAGCAAGTTCAAGTCGCAAACGGGGAGGCTCTCTGGGAGGAGTTGGCTCCCCAGGCCCTGCCCTCCATCCTCTGGATGCCACCTCAGGTAGTTTGTGCCCAGGTCACCCCATCACAGACACACAGTTGGGCACCCAGATTGCCTACCCTCCACAGGGAGAAGTTGGCGAGGTGTGTGGGGGTGGGGTCTGCTGGCAGGCCCAGCCTGTGCATCAGTCCCCAACCAGCAGCACCTCACTCAGGGCTCATCTGGCTGGCCTGGCCCAGTCTGTAGACCAGTGCTTCCCCACAGAACTTTCTGTATCTTCAGTGCCCAAAAGGACAGTGACTAGCACTTGAAACGTGGACAGAGTGCCTGAGAAAGTGGCTTTTTTAGTCAATCACACAGTGGGGCAGCTGCACAGGACAGAACAGTGTATTTGCACATGGGAGGGATGCCTTTGGTCTTTTTTTAGGGGATAAAACTCCAGACCCCAAATGCCCACTCAGCCGCTTTCCTGCCTCTGACTCCTGGGTATTCCAGCCCTACTCAAAAATGCCAACCTGTCCTATGGCAGGAGGTGGGCTCCGCACACTGAGACCCAGAAGGCTGACACTGGCTGCCCAAGGCACCCCATGCCAGGCCCAACAACGTCCTTGCCTCAAACGCCACTGAATGTCAGTTCTATTTCCAACTAGCTCGTGGTGCCCTGGCCTGACCCCACCAGCCCAGCCACAGTGCCCCACAATGGCCCCTGGGCCATTCCAGCCCCTATGTCACACCTCACACACACCTAGGCCAGGAGGGTGACATTTTACACAGCAGGGAACTAAGGTTCTGAGTGCTCGTGGCTGCTGAGTCAGGAAGATGAAAAGGTGGGGACCCATGGCATGCTTCTACCCCAGAACTTGGTGAAAATGTCTTGCTGCCATCAGCTTCCAACACCTATGCGCCATCATAAAACACTGGCACAGGAGGATGGCCTTCACATGCTCAACGCCAACATTTCCTGCACTCAGCCCTCAAAAAGCTGATGAAAAAGTGCATGGCACACCAGGGGTACTCTTTTTGTCTGTTGTCAAGCAGGTTTGCCCATCATGCTAAACCCTGCAACCTCATCTAGCTCCCCAGGAGTGAAGCCCAGAGGGCTGGCTTGTTCCTCAGAGGGCAGGAAGCCATCCTGTGCTCGACACATGATGGTGAGAAGCAGCAGCATCGGCCCACTCCAAATAAGAAAACAGGAACACGTTGAACTGGCCATCATACAGCCTGGAAGGGCACTGGTCCTCCTTTTGCCTCCTGGCAGATGCTGGGCAATGCCGCCCCACTGGACTGGCATAGAGCCCAGAAGGCCTTTGCAAGGACAGGTCTGAGAGCCTGTGTGCCAGGCACTTGGTGAAAAGGCATTTTATCAGGGGACACCCAGGGCTCTTTTCACTTCTGTCCTTTATACTGAATTCCCCACCCTAGCACAGGGCTGGGCACAAAGAGGGGCTCAGGAAATGGCCAACTGCATTTGATCTCTGAAGGGCTCATGCAGCCCAGAGCACGGGGGTCGTCAGAGCTGCAGGAGCCTCCCTAGGTGACATGACCCGCCTTGCCTTCCTCAGAACTGAGTTACAGTGTCAATTTAAGAAGCACCCCTCACTGTCAGGGACCACCCAAAGTTGAGCTACACGAATCGCTATTTTGCACCAGCCCTTCCTTCTGGAAACCAATCCTGACGTCCCACGGGTCTCCACCCCACTCCACCGCTTTGCCTTCTTCCTTCCACTTACAACCTCTAAAAGTGCTCATTTCTCAGGAACAGCACCACGGCCCCCTTCAGAGACTGCTGGGACCACCTCATCCAAATCAGGAGACCCTTGCTTCTTCTGAACTAGCGAGCACAATACATCCTTAGTCTTTCCAGTGTTCACGAGCCAAGTTCCGCGAGGGCTGCGTCCATGCCTGTTCCCTCTATGATCAGTAGGTGATCAGTAAACACGTGCTGGACAAATGCAACCGCTACAGATCCAAGAAGCAGCTGGCGCAGACATGGTCAGTCACCCACAGAGACGGTTGGCAACAAGGCCCCCAGGCTCTGGCAGCAGGCTTCCACCACCCGGGTGGCCGAGCGGTCGCACGCAGGACGGCAACAGGCTGGGCCGTGTCCCTGGACGCCGCGTCGTCTGTGGGCCCCAGTGCTTGCCAAGCCAGGGGGTCCCGAAGCCCCGGCCCGCTGACGCCCTCCCAGCCGGCCGCGTGGCCTCCGCCGCCCCGCCCCTCTGCGCTCGCCCCGAGAGCCGCACTTGGCGTACAGCCCCTGAGCCGGCACGCTGGCGCACTTGCGCCTCAGTTCCTAACGGCGCGAGCCTCTGGCAACGCCGGGCCGCCCGCCCTCCCGGCCCCTCGGGCCACTCCAGCACGTGTGGCTCCTTCCGGCAGGGGCCGCGGTACTCACACGCCAGCCAAGGACGCGGCGACCAAAGAAGGGGGCACCGGCAGCGCAAGGCGGCTGAGGAAAGGAGGGGCCGCCCAGGCCGCGCACGGGAAATCAAGCTCTGGGCTCTACCAAGCGCCGGCGCCCGGGGTCGCGGAGGGACGCGGCCCTTGCGCACGTCCCGGCGCACCGTCGAAGCCTTTGGTGCGACGAGGCTCGTAACTTCAAAGGCAGCAACCAGTGAGAGACGGCCACGGAAGTCGCTTTTTCCCAGAGGAGTCGGCACAAAGTGCCGGGAACAGAGCCCGCCCGACCCCCCTCCGCAGAGCGTCTAATCGAGTCGTCCGGCCTGGGCGGGGTTTACCAGCGCGCAGGCGTCACGGCGGGGCGGGGCCGAGCGGGGGTCAGCACGCCTGCGCCTGCTGAGCGGGCGAGACAAAGGGGTGGGTCCCGCGCGGCCCCGCCCCCAACCGCCCCGCCCCGAGCGGCCGGGCGTGTGGCTCCCGCGTCCCGCGGTACCTTCCGCCGCCGCGGCAGCAGCCAACATGTACCCCGCGGGCCCTCTGGCTGGCCCAGTCCCACGCCGCGGCCGCCGCCCCCCGCCCGGGCGTCCCGCGGAGCCACCTCGGTCCCCCGCGCCCGCCCCGGCCCCCGCCGCACGGCCGCCGCCCCCAGCCCCCGGGCCTCGGCAGCGCGTGGCGGTGAAGATGGCCTTCCGCAAGGCCTACTCCATCAAGGACAAGCTGCAGGCCATCGAGCGCGTCAAGGGTGGCGAGCGGCAGGCCAGCGTGTGCCGCGACTTCGGCGTGCCCGGCGGCACGCTGCGCGGCTGGCTCAAGGATGAGCCCAAGCTGCGTTGGTTCCTGGACCAGCTGGGCGGCGAGGTGGGCACGCAGCGCAAGAAGATGCGGCTAGCCAACGAGGAGGAGATCGACCGCGCCGTGTACTCGTGGTTCCTCACGCTGCGCCAGCACGGCGTGCCGTTGTCGGGGCCCATCATCCAGGCACAGGCCGAGGCCTTCGCGCGCCAGATATACGGGCCTGAGTGCACCTTCAAGGCCAGCCACGGCTGGTTCTGGCGCTGGCAGAAGCGCCACGGCATCTCCAGCCAGCGCTTCTACGGCGAGGCTCGGCCCCCGGCCCCGGGCCCCGCGCCACGCCCGCCTGTCAAGGAGGAGCCCGCGCTACCCCCGGGCGCCGGCTCTCTGCCCGACCGTGCCGCGGCCGCGCCGCCCCCTGCTGAGGGCGGCTACGGCGACGAGCAGATCTACAACGCCAACGTCACGGGCCTCTACTGGAAGCTGCTTCCGGAGCAGGCCGCGGCCCTGGGCGCAGGGGACCCCGGGGCGGGGGGCTGCGGCCGGCGCTGGCGGGGAGACCGGGTGACTGTGCTACTGGCTGCCAACCTGACGGGCAGCCACAAGCTGAAGCCGCTGGTCATCGGGCAGCTGCCGGACCCGCCCAGCCTGCGCCACCACAACCAGGACAAGTTCCCGGCTTCCTACCGCTACAGCCCTGACGCCTGGCTCAGCCGCCCTCTGCTGCGGGGCTGGTTCTTCGAGGAATTTGTTCCCGGCGTCAAGCGGTACCTGCGCCGAAGCTGCCTGCAGCAGAAGGCCGTGCTGCTGGTCGCCCACCCGCCCTGCCCAAGCCCTGCCACTAGGATGCCCGCCCTGGAGGAGAGCGAGGAGACCCCCTTGCGGTGCCGGCCTGAGTCCCTTGGGCCCCCGGAGGAGCTGCAGACACCTGACGGCGCTGTGCGCGTGCTGTTCCTATCCAAAGGCAGCAGCCGGGCGCACATACCCGCACCGCTGGAGCAGGGCGTGGTGGCTGCCTTCAAGCAGCTGTACAAGCGGGAACTGCTGCGTCTGGCTGTTTCCTGTGCCAGCGGCTCCCCACTGGACTTCATGCGCAGCTTCATGCTCAAGGACATGCTCTACCTGGCCGGCCTCTCCTGGGACCTGGTGCAGGCAGGCAGCATCGAGCGCTGCTGGTTGCTGGGCTTGCGGGCTGCTTTTGAGTCCCGGCCTGCTGAGGAGGGTGCTGGGCAGCCAGCCTGCCAGGCCGAGGAGGCTGCTGAGCACAGCAGGGTGCTCAGCGACCTCACTCATCTGGCAGCTCTGGCCTACAAGTGCCTGGCACCTGAGGAGGTTGCAGAGTGGCTGCACCTGGACGACGATGGTCTGCCTGAGGGCTGCAGAGAGGAAGTGGGCCCTGCCCTGCCCCCTGTGCTGGCCCTTGCAGCCCCCCCACCCCCAACCAGCCTGCCTTCTGGCATGGGGGGTGCAGAGGAGGAGGAAGAGGCCACTGCATACGGAGGAGCCTCAGTGCCCACTGCTGGGGAGGCTGTCCGGGGGCTGGAGACAGCTCTGCGGTGGCTGGAGAGTCAGGACCCCAGGGAGGTGGGGCCACTGAGGCTGGTGCAGCTACGCTCACTCATCAGCATGGCCCGGAGGCTCGGGGGCATTGGGCACACCTCAGCAATCCCAGACGACGGTGTGTGACCAAGCTGGCCCAGTGGCCTTTGTCCTGCTGCACTTGGAGGGAGGGGACATGCACAGTCTCCCATCTCCCCTTCTTTCCTCCCCATGGGGTGGGGCACCCCATGGGTACAGGGGGTTACAGGGGTCCACACCCAGCCTGGCTTGGAGGGCCTCTGTTGTGAAAGATCGGTTGTCCTGCCCCACTGGTGCCCCAGTTTGCTGGAGGGATAGCTGGAAGAGAAGCCCCTAGCTCACACGCCTCCCTGGGCAAGCGCACATGTGGGGTCCCCTCCGCATACCAGGCACTCGAGGCACAGAACCTATCAGCAGTTGGCTGTGTCCTGCTCTGGCCCCTGTGGGGCTGGGCCTCCCTTCCCCACCACCTGTCACATGCACTGGACAAGGACCTGACACCCCTGTTTGTTTCGAGCCCTGGTGCTACCTGGTTCCTCCACTACAGCTGTGGGATCATCTCAGTGGGGAAGCACACCACTTGGTTTTATTTTTTTTAACACATTAAATCCATTTTTATAGATACTCTTTAGAGGGGGCTATGAGAACAGGGGCAGAGTGGAGTGATTTTGGGGCTGCCCCCTGCCATTGCTCTGCAGACTGGAAGCCCAAATGGTGCATGTTTGGAGCCTGGGGCTGCTCTCAGAGCATTGCTGTGGAATGGGGGAAGGAAGGACAGAGCCCCAATACTCAGGGTTTCTTGAGGTTCTGGGTGCAGCAGGGGGTGTATTTTCCCCCTGTATTTTTGGTTTTCCTTAAGAAAATTCCATTCTAAACAGATACCTTATTCCATGGGGTTGTCGAGAGTGTGTATTTGGGCCCTGGTGACTTGACCAATGGCAAGGCAAACTCCCCTGATTTCCCATGGGCCACAGGCCACTTTATCCAGCCCCAGGGCCCGGAGCCACCTGGCTTACCCAGAGCAGGCCCAGCACTGACAGCCACCTGGCACAATCCACAGTGCCTTACCATCGCCCTCCACTTGCTCCTCCTGCTCCTCCTGCCCCAGGGCCCCATGCAGGCTTTTCTGCCTTTCCTGGCACTGCCCAGCTTGTGGCTAAGCTGCTTCTGGGTGGCCCAGTTTGAAAGGGAGAAAAGGGCTCCAGTGACTGTCGAGCTCCTGTAGTGTTCTGCTGCTCTATCCAGTTCTAGGTTCAGAATCCTGTGGGTGGTCTGGGACCGAGAGAGCCTGTGCCTCTCAGGGTCGTGGGGGCTTCCATTGCAGGGATGTAGCCCCAGAGCCCTGTAAGGTACAGGGGCCTCCAGGTGCTCTCCCCTTGTCCTCCCAGTGGTCTGAGCCTTGAAAACACAAAGTTGGTGAGTGTAGGGGGCTTGCACGCAGATGGTGTGTCTGTGGAAGGGAAGGGATGTACACCAGCTTGATAGTGGGGCAGCTGCAGGGAATGCCCCGCAAAAGCAGTTTCCACACAAGTCCAAGAACAAACAGGTCCTTGGGACCACCCTGAATCAAAAAAAAAAGAAAACCAAAAAAAAAAACCAACAACATACATCTCAAATCTGAGAGTTGAGGGAAGGTGTGGAAAATTTGTCAGCAAGAGAATCGGAGGCTTAGCTAGCCAGACTCAGCTCCTGCTGGGGCCCTCTGGCCACCTCTCCTTCCAGCCTCCCTGAACCTGCAGACCTGTCGGGGCTGGCGCTGGGTCTCTACAACCCAAGCTGGGGCTGGGCTTCAGGAATTCGGATGTGTTTTGCCCCATGAGCCTCCCCCGTGGCACAGGCACACAGGGCTGGTAGCAGCCAGCCTCCCTGTGTCAGGACTGCCTCCAGGGCTCTGAGAAGAGGTGAACCTAAGGGCTGCACGCCTGGGCCTTGACATCTGGGCAGCCTCTGGTTGTCACCACTATAGCTGATCCTTTGGTGAGGTTTTCATCTCCAACCTTCCTGTCAGTTTCAGCCCTTCCCTTGGCCTGGGCCCAGGGAGGTGTCATACAGGGGAAGAGGCTGCCTCTTCACCTGTCTCACCCCCTATCATCTGGGCATCAGGGGCCCAGGAGGCAGCTCTGGCCTATTCCCTGCCCCCAGATGGTCACCTACCCATAAACAAGGCAGATGTAGGCTGGCAGGGGAGCTAGGAGCTGCTTGAGAGTCCCCTGTCAAGTGTGGGTCTGCCTGTTGGCATCTGCTGGGCTAGGAAACCGGTCCACAAGAGGGCTCAACAGGTCTTCTCTGGAGTACGTGTGTGGCCGCAGGGTAGTCAAGTCCTCAGCCCTGCTTGTGAGGAGGCGGCTCTGCCTGGCCCTGGCCCTGTGGGCAGCCCCTGCAAATCCCTAGGACCCCCAGGGCCTGTAGCTATGCACAGATGGCAGGTGAGAACCTGGGGCCCTGCCCTACCACCAGCTTATAGTCACCCACCTCTCTGGGCTCTGCTCAGTGTCTGTGAAGTGACCCCAGTAGGGTAGGGGGAGCCCCTTGGGAGGGCCGTGTGCTCTCACAGGGCTGTATCTCCACCTGGCCTCCCTTCCTCACACCCCCACGCCTGTTGCTGTTACCTGCTGGGTACCGTGGGCATTTGAGTTGGCCACCCTGATTTGTGATAACATTCAAGCGAGCTGGTTGAAGCTGCATTTCCTTCCTTCAACAGCCACTGGCTGCCGGACCTGGAGGATCTTTCATGATCTCTAGGAGCACTCAGGACCCCTGTGGCCTGGGAAGTACAGACAGCCTTCCTGACTCAGGCAGCTTTATAGAGGCTACCAGCCCCCACCTCCACTCATGTTCACAGCTCTGTGACCAGGCTTGAGGACGGTCACAGCTCTTCCAGTTGGCAGCCTCTGTGTCAGGGTGGTTGTCAGAGCTTCTGGGCTTAGGGGAGGGCCAGTGAAGAAAAAGCGTGAAGGACAGAAAGATGAGTGAATACAGGCTTTGTTGAAACCGCCACTGGCTTGTGTGTTTGGGAAGTGACTACCTGGACATCAGCTGGGCTGTGAATGAAACATCAGAACATAGGGAGGAGGGGACACCCCCAAGCTTGGGGCTGGTCCCACAGGGACCCCAGCCCTTTTTATTACCTATTTGGGATTGGGATTGCCTGTGGGGAGCCCAGTGGGGCCTGGGCACTGTCTACCCCATCTGCCCCTTGGCTGAGTGTGCTCAAGGGTGAAGCTTGACCCCAGTGGCTTCTTGAGAGCAGACTTTGGGCCTCTAGGGTTCATGCTGTGTTAAGGGGCTCTTCCTCTAACACCTAACCTTGCTTACAGCTGAGTTCAGCTGGCCAGATGGGCCTGATGCTTTATATAATAAAGGTTGAACATGTCAACTTCATGAGTACCCGTTTTTGTTTTTTTCTTTTTTTTCATTTTCTTGCAAGTGCCCCTGTTTTAAAGTCCTATTTTGTGGCTCTTGATCCAATGCTTGGAATACCCCATGGGATGTTCCCCATAGATAAAAGAGTTGGGGGCAGGGGACATAAGTGGAACATAGATTACAGAAGGTACCATGAGCACACACATCAGTTTCTATCTTGAAAAACAGTCTTGCCTGGCAGTATAAGGCAGAGGCCTGGCTGACTCACAATCACGACCCTGCCCTCACCCTGAAAAACTGCACCTCTTAAATAAATACGTCCTTGCCACAGGCCATCACCAGCTGGGCCTGGGGCTCCACCAAAGCTCCTCGCTCAAGGAATGGCCTGCTCGAGGGCAGGACTGGATGATGTATGTGTCTTCTGCCTCCCAAAATGAGCCCACTCTGGCCCCTAGAAGACAGGTGTTGGCTCAAATTCAGCAGTGATTTCTCCTTGCAGATGGGGCCTGTCAGTGTGAAGGCAGGTGGCTCTTGGCAGGGCTGCCCAAGGAGTTCCCTCACAGAGCAGCCTGCACCAGACCCTGGGCTCCCAAACCTGCTCAGGCTTGGCACACAGGCCCCCGGAAGGCTGGTCAGGGTGCAGGGGAAGCTGGCAATTCTACACCCTCACAAAGCTCTCAGGCAATGGTGACCTGCAGCCAAGGTGGGAAATCTCTGCCATTCAAACCATTTGCACCACCACCAGCTGACATCTGTCTCTGAGCCCAAGGTCCCAGGTGTCAGCTAAGATGGGGTTTTGGGCCCTTGGTTTCATGAACCTCCAATGGATATGAGCTCACTCAGTGCTCTAAGATGGTGCATTTATTCCCATTGCACAGATGAGGGAGTCAGGTGTAAGGCAGACTCAGGCTGACTCTTCTAACAAGTGGCAGAGCCAGATTCAGATCAAGCAGTCGCTGGCTGAGAGCCAGGCTCCCCTGAGACTGGAGGCTCAGGGATGGGGGCTGACCCCTGAGGCTGGGGGGATGGCAACAGCTGCATGTCTGTTGGGGAGTAAGTAGGGTGGGAAGAGGGCCACAGAGGCAGCTGGGCGTGAGGGATAGAAATGCTGTTCCTGTTGCATAGGTTCTGTCAGCCCAGTTTCACAGATGAGGATTAATGGGCCCGAAGTCACCCAGCTGGTAGATGGCACAGCGTCCTGCCCTTCTCAAGGCCCAGTCCCAGGAGGCACAGCACTCAAGCAGCACTCAGCCCTTGTGGGGCAGGAGGCCCAGGTGTGTCTTGAGAGTGGGAATGGAGTGTAGGTGGGTTGCTGGGCGTTCCCCACCGAAAGGCCCCAGAACCCAGGCCGCCAGTCCCACAGCCTTGCTTCTCCCCGGGTCCTGGCTTTCCTGATCTGCTGGCCACTTAAGAGACAGGCTAAGGAGCCGAGTCCTGCAGTCTGAGGCCAGTGTGGTGGGGCCAGGCCACAGGAACCTCCAGGACTCCTGAGCCAGCGGAGGCTCATTAGGCCCAGCCCCACCCGGCCACTTGCCAGGAGTGTAGGGTCTGGGAGAGAGAGGGAGCCTGGGCCCAGGTGAGCAAGGGGGGTCTACGTTCTTTCGGGCTGGCCAGCGCCCACCCTCCCAGACCTCAAGCTCCCTCCACCTACCTATTGCCCACTTGGTGCCACCCTTGCACTGCTACAGGCTCAGCCCAGCGCAGTTCTGCTGTGGGGGCTCCAGGGGTGAGGCTCCTCCTCCTCCCTGGTTGAGGGAAAAGCACACAACCCCTCTCTTTTCAGGGGCTGGCAACATGGGGCTCCAGCTCCCCAAAGGTGGCCCTGTCTAGCATCAGGCCAAGGCCTCTGGCTTCCCTGAGTGGGAGGGAGTCCCTTGCACACACTCCATATGTCCTGTGCCCCGCAGAGCTGAGACAAGGGAGTTGGCTTGGCTGTAGCTGCTGAGCCATTGGGAAATTCAAGGAAGGGCCAGGGCTCCAGACCAGGCATCTGGGCTGGCTCTTCTTTAACCAGCAGCTCCGCTCATGGCCTGACCAACTGCCTGCCACCTGGGCACCTGACCAAGAGGCCGTCTCTAGGGACCCTCAGAACCAATGGTGCCATCATGGTGGGCTCACTAGGGTAGGTGCCTTCTGCCCACGGGGGAGGGAGGGCTCCTGTGCTGGTGGGAGGCCAGCCAGCCCAAGCCTCTCAACTCTCATCGCCTCGTATTTCCCTCTGGGGTGAGGGGACAGCATGAAACACGCAGGAGGAAGAGAGGACCACGTCCTCAGGGGAAGAGGTGGGGGTGCTGGGGGTGGCACAAGTGGACAAGGAGGCGGGCAGCCTTCATCCAGAGCCTGGGCCTACTTTCTGCAGAGCTCCTTGGCCCGGCAGGTGGCGGCCTCCACAGCACTCATGGTGGCTGCTCGAAGCCCACCCTGCTCCAGCGCATGGAGACCGTAGATGGTGGTGCCACCCGGTGTGCATACATCTGTCCGCAGCTGGGCAGGGTGCTTCCCCTCTTGCAGCAGCATCTTGCCCGTCCCCTGGGGAGAGCGTGAGAAGCTGATGACTTGGGAGGGGAGCAGCCCCCACACTGTGGCCTGCCTCCTCTCAGCCCCGTTGCTTCCCTGCCCACTGGAGGTGGTGCAGGCCTGGATCTTCCCGATATTCCCCCAGGGCCAACCTCACTCACCAGCAGGGTCTGGGCAGCAATGCGGTGGGCCAGACCACTGGGCATGCCCATCTTGATGGCGCCTTCAGCCAGGGCCTCAGAGAACGTGCACACCTACAGCAGCAATGTTGGGAAGAGTGTCAAAGCCAACATTCCCCCAGCCTGGAAAAGGCTCAGACCACTGGCCACAGATTCCAGGGCCAAGGCCTGAGCCCAGGGGTCTGCCCTCAAAGGACCATCAAGGCAATGAAGTTCCAGGGAAGAACGGAGCCCAAGAACTCACAGTCAGCTTAGAGACCAAGCACCCAAGACCCGGGGGCTATACCCTGAGGGCAGAGGCCATCACAGGGCCTTGGGAGGGCCTCTCTTTGCTGGGGGCTTGGGGGTGGGGAGGACAACACTCACGAAGGCCACTCCGCTGCTACTGAGGCCAGTGTGGATGTCTATGTAGGCCTCAGGCACCTCCTCACACTGCCCACAGGCGTCCAGCAGGTTCTGCAGGAGCTTGGTCTCATTGCTCCCGGCGTGGCGGCCCCGCGCCATCACTATGGCCCCCTCCTGGACCACGCAAGGCAGGCTGGGTGAGACCCTCAGCACCTGTGCATTGGGGGGCAGCAGCTGGCCAGAGAAAGGTCAGAATCAGGGAGCCTGTGGAATTGGGTCCTGCTGGGCAGGCCCAGAGCAGAGGCTTCCAGGCAGATATACCCCAGCTAACTGCAGGCTCTAGCTCCCAGGCACAGCACTAGGAGTGAACCCCAACCCTGGCCACTTAACCCCCTGGACCACCTGCTACCTCTGCAGGCTGGCTGGGAGGCTGTCTGCCACCTGAGTCTGGCCAGCAGAGCTTACCCCGAGGGCCACTCACCTCCTCCAGGACACTCAGAGAGACCCCAGCAGCCACAGACACCAAGATGTGCTTAGCAGTGACCACAGGGGCCACCTCTGCCAGGACAGCTGGCAGGACATGGGGCTTGGTGGCAAAGATGATAACTGAGCAGCTCTGCAGCACCTCCCGGTTGGAATGGGTGGTCTGGCAACCCAGAGCCTGCGCAGAAGACAAGGGAACCAGGACACAGGGGGCTGCGTGAATGGGGCATCCACCCAACCACAGCCCTCCCTGCTGTAGGCCGCCCTATGTTTCCGTGGGTCCTAGGGCCTCTTGTGGCCAAGTGTCTATACCCTCACCCCTCAGCCCCCATGTCAACACCTCCCCAAGGCCTCTGTCCCCAGAGAATGCCCATGACCACCACCCCAGCACACACATGAACATGCACTCATGCACACACTTTTGCCCTGGCCCTCCATAACCCTGACTTCCCCACTGGCCTCTGACCTCCCCTTCTGCAGCTCAGCCCCGCCCAGCCAGTCTCCAAACTTCAGCTAAATAAGACACACTCCCCTGGACCTGTTAAGTTTCTGAGCAGGACAGGAGCCAAGAAGAGCTACCCCAGGCTCCTGAAAGAGCCTTTCCACTCTGGAAAAAGCCTGGGCCCTCTGCTCACCTGGAAGTGGCAGAGGCCCCTGTCCGTTGGTGCACTGGCCAGCACGTGCTGAGCTTCCACTTTTCCTGGAAAGGCAAAGGCAAAGGGGTTGATGAGGTCTGGTAGGAGGAGAGGGAGGAGCTCTTCTGGCCTCTCAGGCTCAGCCAAGCCTGGCCCAACCTTGGCCCCCGGCCAACCTGAGACTCTGCAAGAACAAAAAGCAGGGATGCTCCATCCACCTGGGACCAAGCAATCAGACCCACCGATTCTACCGGGCAGCCACTGCCACCTGCTTGCTGCTGGGATGGAGGCCAGACACTTGCCTCATCCAGTGGGGACACAGATCCCAGGGAAGGGAAGGCTGCCTGGAGCAGCACCCCAGGGGGAACACCAGGCCTGGGGTGGCATGGTGGGAACAAAGGCAGCTCATTGGCCACAAAAGGCTCAATGGGGGCCCAGCTTCCTCCAGAGGGGGCAAGTCTGTGCTGGAACCTCCACGTGGATGCCCACTTGATAGAAATCATCTGCTTTTGTGGAGTACAGAGGTGGCGAGACTGGGTTAGAGTTCAGTATAGTCGAACAGGAAGACAGAAGTGTACATCACAGCTTGAACACAGCCAGTTAATGGCAGGGACAGCCACACACACAAGTACTGGGCTAAACATTTGACGTATATGTTTCATTTAACGTGTACAGCCCTGGGAGGCAGGTGACACTGCCAGGTTTTAGAGGTAAAACTCCTGAGATTTGCAGTAACTATCTTCTGATTATTACTTTTCTGGACCTTTAAGTACAGCTGAACACACAGCCATAAGTCACCTAGTTCTCTCTACCCACAATCCACACATAAAGGTTTCTATTAATACATATTGTAGAGCAGCATTAGGGTAGCACCAATATCCCCTGCTGTATACCAGTGGTTCTCAACCAGGGATGATTTTGCCTCCACCCCCGCCCCCATCCAGGGGATATTTGTCAATGTCTGGTGATATTTTGGCTGTCACACCACGTGGGGGGCTACTGGCATCTAGTGAGGAGAGGGCAGGGATGCTAAACATCCTACAACGCAAAGAACAAATTATCTGGCCCCAGCTATCCATAGAGCCAGGGTTTCTGGTAGAGTAACCCTGCTGCTTACTACCAGAAGTCGCCCTGACGCACAAATAGAAAAAAAAAAAAAAAAAAAAAAATCAGAGGCTCAGCTCGATCAAGGCCAGGAGGCCATAGCTGGTGGCACTGAGCCAGCACTGTTGAAGAGATTATCATTTGAACCACCTGCGTAGCTACTTTCTAGTAGCCACATTCAAAAGGTAAGAAACAGGTGTTCCCGCCTGTGCCCTGGGAAGCCAAGTCCCGAGGCGCAGGGTCCATGCTCCATGTTTCAACCTTTTGGTGGAGGAACCACCCACTCGCCCCCTGGCACCCCTGCTGCCCTCGCGTCCCGCGCTGGGGCTCACGGGGAACCCCGCTAGCACCCGCACGGGTCCGATGCGCCCGCTCCCTCCCCAACAGGTGAGCTCCCCGCACGGGGCGCCTCCCAAGCCAGGCCGCGCGCAGCCACACCTGCTCGGATGAGGCCCTGCGCGATGGCCTCCGCCATGCGGCCCGCGCCCACGAAGCCCACACGCAGCGGGGCCGGCCCCGTCGCCGCCATCTTGCTGCCCCGGCCGCCGCCCAATCACAGACCGCGCCCTCTAGGCCCCGACAATAAAAGCCCCGCCGCCTTGCCTCTTTTCTTGTTGATTGGCTACCAGGATCGCACACTCCGCCCCTGGCTTTTCCCGTCCGCACTCGACTGGTTCGCAAGGCAGTGGTTCCCACTCCCTCGCTGCTCATCGGCCCGAGAAAGCTATGCCTCCCATTGGCTGAGAGAAGACGTGGAGCCGGACGCTGGCAGCTTGATTCTCCTAAGGGGAAGGGCTGGGGGTGCTGGGCTAGTCCGCAGCTAGTGGCCTGACCGGGCGCCCAGAGGTGGGACACCCTGACGGGACGCCGCAGCTCGCCGGGTGGTCGTTGGGCACCAGAGCCGCCCGGAGGGAGCGTTGGCCCCCACTCCGGAGGGCCTGCAGGGGCTCCGCGCGCAGGCGGACTCGGACCGGAGGACCCTACCCAGCCGGCCGCGGCCTGCTGCGCCCGGGTGCAATCCTCCGGGGTCCCCTTCCCGAGGCCGGGGCTCCTGTGAAGGCCTGGCTCTCTTGTGGGTCTTGGGCCATCTCAGAGACTGACAGGGATGGTCGCGGTGAGCGCGGGGGAGCCTGTTATTTTTAATCGACAGGAGAAAAATACAGGGTGAAGATCAAAGAGTGCAGGTTTTTAACTCTTCACCCAGTCTGCATTTTAAATCTTTATTTTCTTCTAAACTTTTTGGCATTTTCTAAGTTCTTCAGCAATGAAATACCCTCCTCGTTCGTTCAGCCGGTATTTGTTGCGCACCCGCAGTGTCTGGGCCCTGCTCTGGGCCGGGGAAGGACACACAGCAGTGCGCGGCGAGGCCGTGCCCCTACCCTGAGGTCTGCTCGTCGGCGGTGGAGACAGACAGGACACCCAGAGAGTGGTCACGCTTCTGAAGTGGATGACGGGGAGGGCAGGGCGGGAGGCGGGCGAAGGCGGTCCAGGAGGCTGCTTCAGCCACTGTGGCCAGGCAACGGGGGTGGTGGATGTGGGGGCCAACAGTGCCGGCCCCCACCACTGCAAGGTTGCTCAAATCTGCCTTCCTTTCCCTGTGTAAAATGGGGAGGGTGCGAGTTTCTAGCTCACACGGTTGTTATGACAACTGAAAGACTTAATGGAAAACACATGGAGTGGCAGGTGCCAGCTGCTTAGTATAATAGTATGCTCTCAGGCAGGGACCAGCCAGGTAACGGCCCTGGGCAGAGAACCAGCCAGTACTTTTGAGAGGTGGGAAGGTTGCGGTTGGGAGTGGAGGAGGCGATACGGAAAGGACAGCTGGCCATGTCAGGAGGTGAAGGACAGAGACACCATGGGCTGTCCTGCAAGGAGCCCAGAGCCCTCAAGGGAGGCTCCTGGGTGGGGCTATGGCTGTCCCATGAGATGCAGACGGATTGGTAGTGGAGGTGGTGAAAAGCAGCTGGATTTGGGAAATATTTCTGGAGGTTGAGTAGAATGTGCTGGAAGGCTGAGGAAAAGTGAGAAATCAGGGACACTCTGCGGTTTCCCTGACATACAGGAAGAGGATGACGGGGAGGAACGGGTTTGGTTTTCCAGGGGTAAGGATGCTCAGGGCTGCCCTTCTGGCTGTGGGCAGTGTGTTTCAGCGGCAGGGTCTGATGCTCTGCACCAGTGTTCAGTGTTGTAGCTATTTCTCCTGCAGCTCTCTTTGCATGTAGACTCCCTGGAGTGGGTGCGGGGTCCTTGCTCTCCCAGGGCCCCAGGGCCAGTGACGGCTAAGGACCAATGCTGTGATAGGGGCCTGTAGCATCTAGCTCCTTGTCATCACAAATAAGGACAAAACCCAGTTGCCTTGGGTGGACTGAAACAATGTAAATGAGAGTTGCCAGCTGACTGCCCAGAGCCATCACTAGCAGGAGAAAGCCCAGGGGCCCAATGCCCAGGTGGCCCCTGGCTGTGGGCAGCACAGCTTCCCTGTCCCATGTCAGGCCAGGCCTCAGCATTGGCTGGGAGCCTTCAGTGACACCCTTAACCATTACGTGTGTCCTGCCAGCTGTGTCCTAGATGCCTCTCTGCTCTCATGAGGTGGTGGGCTCCCTTCTTTCCCTCCCTCACCTGGCTGATCCAAGCTCCAACTCAGATGCCACCCCCTCCAGGAGGCCTTCCCTGAACCCCCACACATGCAGAGACTTCATCTACAAAGGGATGACACCAGGGGAACACACTGCAAAGGAGCTAACCCACATCCTGGAGCTACAAGTCCTCTGGGGTCAGTGGGGATGAGGAGCGGGGCTCCCAGGAGTTTCCAGACAGGCAATCATGACAGGGCAGGGTGGGTGCTCAGTGAGTGGCTGAGGGGTGCATCCAGGGAAGGCTTTTCAGAGTAAGCGCCATTTCAGCTGAGACCTAAAAGGTGGGGAGGTCTTGACCCAAGGGCAGCCTCCAGGGGGTTCTGAAGGATGAATACCTTGGCTTGCCAGAGAGACAAAGATGCAGAGAGAGGTCAGTTGGGTGCAGGGACATGTGGCAGACACAGGTCTGGACTTGGTGCCTGGCACAGGGAAGACATACCAATATTGTCTGAGTAAACACGGGAAGAAATGAACATGGGAGGCACAATCTGCAGTCAAAGTACTTTCTGGGTGAAGATGGCAAAGGGCGCCCAGGGGGTAGGGTACCCTGAGAAGAGGTGGGCCCAAGGTTGAGCCCGGAGCCAGGGCAGGTGCCTGGGTCCTGGGGACTCTCTCTGCCAGGTGCTGAGGAAGGCAGTGAGTTAGCAGGGGCTCTGCAGCCAGGCGCTCCTGGTTCCTACCCCAGTGCTACCAGGACAGGCAAGGGGCACCTGTCAGTCAATCTTTCTGGATTTTGCTGTCTCCCTGCTGAAAATGGGGTGGCCAATGATGTCACCTCCCTGGTGGCTGGAGCTGCCCTGCCCTCCTGTATAGCACCTGTCACTCTCCAAAGGACAAGGTCAGGCTGAGCTCACACCCAGGCTGCTGCCTGAGTGGGGGAGATGAGGGCCCGGGGTTGGCCCAGCTCTGCTGGATCCCCAGGGAAGCCTGAGCCACCCAGCCCTCAGTCTCCCCTCGGACCCATCTGCTTGCTCCACTCGGCCTGTCCAAACCCAGGCCAGCCTCTTTCCCCAAAGTCCTTGGGGCCAAGGCAGGGAGGCTGGAAGAGCTCAGATTACCCAGGCCTGCATGGCTGCAGGGCAGGGGCTGGGACTGTGGGAGGGGCGCCCTGCCCCACGTCCTCATCCAGCTGACAGCCCATGACCATCTCACCATGGCTGCCTGCTGCTTCCTGACCACACACACCTTCCCACTCTCCAGCCTTTGTCGATATCCATCCCAGGCACAGTTGGCCACCCTGGCCCAGCAGCTCTCAGTTGGACAGCAAGCAGGGGGACGGTGGGCTCTGGGGCTGGCCAGGCTAAGGGGCGGTGCCTGGGCACAGGGCACAGCTTGGCACAGAGCTGCCGAGGCCAGGCCTGTGAAAATGTACTTTATTAGCTCAACAGGAGTGGGAGAGCAGGATCAGAGTGGACACACTCAGGACCAGGAACCAATGTGGGGAGCAAAGTACCGGGCCTGGCCTGGCCTTGGTTTCCCTGAGACGGACAGGAATGAGCCCTGCTGGACAGCTGCCTAGAGCCACAGGGCAAGGTGGAACATGGGCCCAGGTTGCCAGGCAGTGCCCTCAGCTCCTGGTGGGGGTCTGGGGGTGGCGGCCACAGGCACCTGCTCCCACCACCTGGCTTCACTTCCGGGCCTGCTCGTAGTTGTCAGTGAACCAAACACAGGTCTCCTTCACAGCTGTGGAGGAGGGCCAGGGCCACAATGACCCTCTTGGGAGGAGGTGGGAGGGTGGGGGCCAGGGACACAGGGAAGTCACCCCCTCTGAGCATCAGTGTTGTGCCTCCCAGGCAGCACAGGCTCTGATGGGAAAGCCTGGAGACCAAATCCATGGGGCATCCCATCCCTACCCCCACCCCTCTACAGGGAACATGGGTAGGAGAGGCCCCCCTCTGTGGGGGGCCAAAGCCAAGGAGGAGGGGCCAGGGCAGGCCAGGAGAACTGGGTGTGGCTGCGGGAGGGGCAGGAGCTCACCTTGTTTGAAGGGCGTGAACCGGAAGTCAGGCAGGTAGTCTCGCAGCTTTCTGTTACTGGCTGTCTTCTTAAACTGCCCGTCCGACTTAGTTGTATCAAACTAGGCACCTTGGTCAAGGCCACAACACAAGGAGCACGTGTACCCCCAGCCCCAGTGAGCCCTGAACCTCTGTCTTTCCCCATGGGGGCCTGGGGGAGAGGACAGCAGACCCATCTCCTACTGCCAGGTGTTCCCACATAGGAGGCCCCCACACAGAAGAGTCCCCTGAGCACACCCATTGTGTCCTCACCTAAACCCCCATCACTGGAACCAGAGGATACGGTGACTTCCCCGTGGAAGTCCATGGCCTCCACCACAGCCTCAGCCGCCTCCTGGATGGAGACCTCGTCCTCCTCACCCACTGTGGGGAGTGAAGGGCCCACAGCCAGGTCAGGCCTCCTCCAGGGCTGCCACCCCTCAGCCAGCCTCCCAGGACAGACATAGGTCCTTCCCCAGAGTGGAGGAAGGGGAACTGGGGGCTGCCCACCTGATAGGATGATGGGGTCCACCTCACTGTATTCCCGCAGGACCCAGATAAAGAGCTGGGCCAGGTCCTGGAGGTCAGACAGCGAGGGTCAGAGAGCACAAGGTGTGGCCAAATGGGGCCAAGGTCACCTCTCCCAGATGCCCCTGCTGGGGCATCCACACTGCTGTCCCTGCTCAGGGGGACACAGCCAGGGCTCAGCCTGCGGATGGGGTCCCTCCTTTGGGCAGTCCTTCCTCAGAGCTGCATTCAGTGCCTCCTGTCGGGCAGGAACCCATAGGGACACTGCGGGGACCAGAGATCACTCCTCTAGGGGCTCTGTCCAGACCCTCACCTGTTCCTGGTCTCCCGCTGCCACCACCTCCCCCAAAGCCCAGCAGGGGCAGGCCCAGGGCTCACGGGGCACACTTTCTGGGGGGAGAGCTGTGCCCTCCTATACAAACCAGCGAGTATATGAACTGCCTCCTCGGCTTGCCTGTGCCCCACACTGTCAGGGCTGAGCCACTGCCTGCAGGTGCAGGGGGAGGGCAGGTGTCAGAAGGCACTGGGCCACCTCCTCCCCAGCTGAGCCCCAGGGATCCCATTAGTGGGTGACCTGGGCTGGGTGTGTGCTGGGTGGCTGGGCACTCACTCTTGGCCAGGTGCACCTTGTGGATGAGGCCGGGAAGCACGTGGCCGTCCTCGATGTTGAAGTTATCATGAGGCCCGAAGACATTGGTGGGGATGACGGCAGTGAAGGTGCAGCCATGCTGCTGGAAGTAGGCCCTGCAGAGGCACAGTGTCTCCTGCCTCATCCTGGGACCACCAACCACACTCCTCCCCACCGCTGGCCTCTTAGAGATGGAAAAACGAGGTTGCAAGACCCCACGCAGGTTCCCCAGCCACCCGCCCACCCCGCGGAGCTTCAGCCCTCTTCCCCACTCCAGGCTAGGCCTTGGCAAGATGTGCGAGGAGGACCTGTTCTGCACGTCGATCATCCTCTTGGCATAGGAGTACCCAAAATTGCTGTTGTGGGGCGGCCCGTTGTGGATCTGGGGAGCAGGAGAGGCACCGAGGCTGCCACTTCCCAGCCCCACCCACACAGCTTCCCAGCCCCGCCCCCGTGTCCAGGCACCACCCCCTCACCATAGTCTCATCAATAGGGTAGGTGGTCTTGTCAGGGAAGATGCAGGTAGACAGGCAGGACACCACCTTGCGGGCGCCCACCTCGAAGGCCGAGTGCAGGACGTTGTCATTGATGTGCATGTTCTTTCTCTGCAGGGGTGCGGAGGGGAGATCAGGCCCCCCAGGCAGGACTCTAGCCCTGACCTGCTCCTCCAGGTAAGGAACCAGAATTGGGGACACACCCTGGTCCCTCAAACAGACAGTACCCGAGCCTGCTTGTCTTAACTGCTGCTGGGACAGAGCCTCCCAGCACTGCCCTTACAGAAACCACTGCCTCCTCCTGCCAAGGCTGTAGGAGGGTCTAGCCCTGCCTTCCTGGGAGTGGAGGAGAGAACCACACACTCCAGCTCAGGGCAGGGCCTACCCAGGGCACAGCAGGTAGTGGAGCATAAGAAAAGGGCCTAGGGGGGTTGCGGCTCCTATATGGGGAGAAGGGCCCCCACTAACCCATCCTAGAGAAGCTCACACCTGGCTCAACTGCCCAGTAGCAGTGAAGCCATGGCGAGCCATGGCCTGCCCTATCCCTGCCCAAGGCCCACTACCCCTTCTATAAATTGGACATGAGATGGCCAGGCCATTTGAACTTGGGAGAGGGGAGAGGTAGTGGCCAGGGAGTCTGATGGGAAGGCTGAGACAGACAGACGGAGGGCTCTTGGGTGACAGGGCCCCTTGGCAGAATCTGGTCTGATCCTCTACTGACCCCAGGGCCTGGTACAGGCCAGCCAGGGCAAGGTGCTGCCCCTCAGAAACAGGAGGGGCCAACCCTTAGGGGCTTAGCTAGCAGGGGCAAGGCCCTGACACCATGCTGCTCCAGGGCACAAGCCCAGTTCATACCCCTGCACCCCAGAGTCTGTGGGGGATCTGGCTCAGGGGAGCTGGACCAGCACAGTTCTGGGAATGGAGGCTCTGGAGGTACAGAGGGCTCAGGGGGCAGGAACCCACCCAACTCGCACTGCAAATGCTGGCTTCTTTCAGCTCCAAACACTGTGGGTCAGCTCCAGGGCATTTCCTACTGGACATAATGACCCCAGGCCCACCTGCATGCTCCTCTGCCCACAGCACCAAGTGTGGGTGACTGGGGGCCTCTCAGAGGCTGCCCGCACCAGGCTGTGCCCAGCCCTGACTCTTAGGGACTTCTTGGGGAGGGAACATGAACTTGTAAAAGTGGAAAGCCCACCAGCAAGTCCCCAGAACCTGGGCCCCTGGCTCCCAGTGCTCACTCCCCCACTTACCCAGAAGTCCAGATTGTATTTGATATTCCGGAAAAGGCCCCCTACCATTGCAGCAAGATGGATGACATGCGTGGGTCGGACCTTCTGAAACAGGGCTTGGGTCTGTGCCGCATCCCTGGGGGAAGCCGGGCTGTCAGGAGCCACTTGGAGGCCTGAGGGAACCAGCACCCTAGGGTGGGGCCATGGCAGAAGGGCAGCCAAAAGGGAAAGTGGCCAAGTCCAGTGCCCAGCTGTGTGAGAGTGTGGGCTTCCAGGAAGGGATGGGGAGTGTTTGCCTAGCAGCACAGCTGAGCACACCCAGGCCACGTCAACCACCTGGCAGGGAGGGCCCAGACATGTGGCTACTGCCAGCTCAGGGACAGGCCCAGCCTGGAGCTGTTTATTCTGAAGCGGGCATGGGGAGGAGAAGTGCTCTGGGGATGGACTCACTCACGTGAGATCGGCGTCCTTGGAGGAGACAAACACCCAGTCTTCTCCAGGCAGGCCGGCCCCATCTGCTACCACCTTCTGGATGGCTCTGCCCACCAGCCCAGAGCCCCCTGTCACTAGGATCCGCATGGACCCCTGGGGCTCACCCATGTTGGCTGCACCTGTAGTGCCAAATGGTGTGAGGCTGAGGCCATCATGCTCCCATCCTGTGAAGCCCCATTTTCCTGGGGCAACTGGCACAGGGTGAGACTCCCTCCAAGGAGGGGACATGATCCACTGGCCCTGACAGACCCAGCTGGACTGAGCCGTGCCCTCTTCCCAGCCCTGTTCCCCAGGAAACCCTCTGCCTAGAGCTCCACAGGGGCCTTGAGGCTATCACCTAGCCCAGAGCAGCTGGTCCCAAACCACAGTCACCACTGGGCCCAAAAAAAGTACATTCTACTTCTTTCTGGCTGACAAGAGGGGAAGCAGTCAACCCTACGGCTGGGGGCTCCTGGTGCAGGTGATTAGGGATGCTCTCAGTCAAAGCCCATATGCTAGGGACAGGCCCTGTCGAGTCTGATTCCTCCTGCGCAGATCGCACCGCTGGCTCAGAACCGCACGGACCCTGAGCGCCGCCACCTTCCAAGATCCTATCTTGGGAGCCAGAAATCTGCTCGGGCTCCGCCAGGACCGCTCTGGCCCCACTGCAGGGTCCTAGGGCCATTCCCTACGGCAGGGCGCCCTGCCTACACATCCCGCGGCTCCCAAACAGGCGGGCAGCCGGCGGGGAGACCTCCAGCCCACGGCCCAGGCTCCGCCCACGCATCCCGGATCCCAGACGCCCACAGCGTTCCCTGGCGCTCGCGGAGCACCGGAGGGCCCAGGCCCCGGCTCGCCAAGCAGCGTCCCCCAGGGGGGCCCCTAGGCGTCTGGTGCCACATCTCACCTGTGCCCTGTCCCACCTGCCCTGAGCCCTGACAGCTACTTCCGGCGCCCGGAGATCTCGTCTCCGGCCCCACGCTGCACCAGGTAGAAAGGGGTCGGGCGGCCCGGGGCGGGGCGGGGCCCTCCCGCGGCACGCTGGGAAATGGGATCCTCGAGGTGCGCCGGCGCATCTCGGGCGCTTCTGGGAAATGGGGTCCGCGGCTACGCATCAGGCTGAGAAATGGAGTCTCCCGCCAGGCGAGGCTGGAGGCAGCTCTGTAGGCAGGACCAATGTAGCCTGGCCCGGGGCTGGCCGAGGCCCTGCTGGGAACGGTGGGGAGTGGGAGAGGAGGGGACTAGGGACAGCGCACCACTGGCAGCCGCCGACGTCCTGCGGCCCAGGCATTCTCAGCCGGCTTTTGCCCCACGGGGAGGAGCTACAACCCTTGCCTCCGGAGCTATGCTTTAGCGAATGGAAGGAGAGAGAACGACCCAAGACGTGGGTGGGGAGCCCCGGGAGAGGCGGCCTTGGGGCCTGGCCACAGGAGCAACGTTCCCAGTGAAAGGCCCATTCGCCCAGGCCACCGCCGCGGGGCTATTGTCGGCAAGAGAGTGAGGACGTTGACGTCAGAAAGACTCCCTTCAGGGCTCGGCTCCCTCTGGTGCCCCTCTCAACACAAATTTTCCCAAGTTTCTGCCCCTAAATGCACATGATGTCATTCCCTACTTTCATTAATTCAGGCCACATTTAGGGGCACCTAGATTGGAAATATGTACAAGCACATGCTCTTTCTGTCACCCTGATGAGGTCGCTGAGGCTGCTAAGGCTCAGACAAGAAATCACTCTCTAGCGTCACACGACCAGGTAGTCGCCTCTGTCCGCCTTGGTACTGGGTCTTGGTACTGGGACATGGTGGGTGGCCGTGGCAAGCCACTGTCTGTGTCTCTCAGGGCCCCTGCTCCACCTCTCAGCCTTTTGCACTGATCCTTTACTATTCATGTCTCATGAACAGCAACCAGCTCCTACCTTCTCTCCTTCCATGATGGGGTCCCCGCGATCTCCCCACAGCCAGGTGAGCACCCCTCTGGACAGCTACTCCAGAGCATTGTCTTCCTACCTCAGGAAGCCAGTGACAGCCCTGCCCATAATGCTTGTGCGTCCCAGGCAAGAGTTCCCACAAGGCTCGCATACTTTCTGTCTAAATACAAGTATTTAAAAGCAATCAATCGTTTTATTGCAATTCCCTTTTGGACTTTGCAGATAACTGCATTTTTTAATACAAATTGAGTGTGACTTCCCTGCATGGAGCAAGTCCATCAACAACACTTTTCCACAAGCATGGGCTCACTTCGTGTCTCTACATCACATTTTGGTAGTTCTCACCACAATTCAAACTTTTTCATTATTATATCTGTTATAGTGATTGAGGATCAGTGATCTTTGATGTCCTCCCCTGTCTCTCTCCCTCTCTCCTCCTCCCCCATACCTTGCCTTGTGCATCTCTTCCATTTGGCTGTTCTGAGTTGTATCCATTATAATAAACCAGTAAATGTAAGTAAAATGCCTTCCTGAGTTCTGTGAGCCATTCTAGCAAATTATTGAACTTGAGGAAGGGGTTGTGGGAACCCTTCATCTATAGCTGATCAGTCAGGCGTATGGGAGGCCCAGACTTGTGACCAGCATCGGAAGTGAGGACAGTCTTGTGGGACTGAGCCCTTAACGTGTGGGGTCTTCACTGACTCTGGGTAGTTAGTGTCAGAATTGAATTACATTGTTGGACACCCAGTTGGTGTCCACAGAGAATTGGCTGGCGTGCAGGAAAAATCGCCACACATTTGGTATCAGAAGTGTTGTGAGTAGAGGAACAGTTTTCCCAGGTAGCAGTACTACCCAAAGCAATCTACAAATTCAATACAATCCCTGTCAAAATTCCGGTGGCCTTTTTTGCACAAATGGAAAAACCAATCCTGAAATTCATATGGAATGATAGAATAGATAAAACAATCTTGAAAAAGAAGAACACAGTAGGAAGACTCACATTTCCTGAATTTCCAAACATACTGCAAAGCTACAGTAACCAAAATAGGTGGTACTGGCCTAAGAATAGACACATAGACTAATGAAATAGAACCGAGAGTCCAGAAATAAACCCATACATCTGTGATAAGTTGATTATCAACAAGGGTGCCAAGACCATTCAAGGGAGAAAGAATAATATTTTCAACAAATGGTGCTAGGACAACTGCATAGCCAGCCACACGAAAAAAGAAAAAAGACATTGGACCTCTTCCTCATCATATACCAAAAATAACTAAAAATGGATCAAAGATCTAAATTGTTCTGTGAAAGGACTTTATATGCAGAGGCCCCAAATGCCAAAGGAGCAGAGAAACCAAAGAATAAAGCAGCCAAATCCAGTTTGTCAATAAAGGGTGACTTATTAGAGGGAACTTACAGACAGAAGCATGGTTTTGGGCAGCTGCAAGTCAGGTAGATCTATGTACCGCAACCCCGGAGACCCAGGGCATATATCTTGGGGAAAAAGTCTATGTGCTACGTGCTCTGGAAGGAATGTTCAGGTGGCTGAGAGAATGCATCACAGCCTGTGATTTCTGCACAATATCAAGGGTTGTTTGGGAGAAAAGGCAAAACTTACAGGGAATAGGTGTTTCTACGTAAAGAGTAATACATCAAGTACACATCTTGGAGGCATTCCCAGACTTGGGGTAAGTATCTGAAATAGAGTCATTCTTGTTCCCACATAAATGCAAGAACTAAAACTTTAAAACTCTTAGAAGAAAATAGGGGTAAATCTTCATGACCTTGGCAGTGGTTTGGCAATGGTTTCTTAGGTGTGACATCAAAAGAACAAGCAACAATGACAACAAAAAATAGATCAGTTGGACTTTATAAAAAAAGTTTTGTGCATCAAAAGGTACTATTAAGAAAGTACTATTAAGGGGCCGTTGCTGTGGCTCATGCCTGTAATCCTAACACTTCAGGAGGCCAAGGCAGGAGGATGACTTGAGATCAGAAGTTCAAGACCAGCCTGGGCAACACAGCGAGATCCCATCTCTACAAAAAATAATACAAATTATCCAGGTGTGGTGGTGCGTATTCATAGTGCCACCTACTTGCTTGAGTCCAGGCATTCAAGCAGGCAAGGGTGCAGCCAGCAATTATTGCACCACTGCACTCCAGCCTGAGTGACAAAGTGAGACCCTGTCTCTGAAAAAAAAAAAAAAGAAAAAAGTAAAGACAACCCATAGAATGGGATAAAATATTTGCGAATCATTTATATGATAAGCATCTAGTATCCAGAACATATAAATAACTTTTACAAATCAATAACAAAAGATAAACAGCCTAATTGAAAATTGGGGCCAGGTGCTGTGGCTCACACCTGTAATCATACCACTTTGAGAGGCTGAAGAGGGAGGACTGCTTGAGGCCAGGAGTTTGAGACCAGCCTGAGCAACATAGTGAGACCCTGTTTCTATAAAAACAATAAGAAAATCAGCTGGGTGTGGTAGTGCACACCTGTAGTCCCAGATACTTGGGAGGCTGAGGCAGGAGGATCACTTGAGCCCAGGAGTTTGAGGCTGCAGTGAGCTATGATGACACCAGTGCACACCAGCCTGGGTGACAGAGTGAGACCCTATCTCTAAATGAATAAATAAATAAATAAGGCAAAGAACTTGAATAGACATTTCTCCAAAGAAGATATATAAATGGCCAAAAAGCACATGAAAAGATGCTTAACATCATTAATCATTCGTCAAATGCAAATATAACCACAATGAGATACACTTAATACGCACTAGGATGGCTATAATAATAATAAAAAGGAAAATAAGTTTTGGAAAGATATGAGTAGGAACCCTCATATATTACTGGTGGGAATGTAAAATGATGCAGCTGCTGTAGAACACAGTTTGGTGGTTCTTCAAAAATTTAAACATAGAATTATCACATGTTTCAGCAATTCCGCTCCTAGGTATATACCCCAAAGAAAGGAAACATATATCCATACAGAAACTCGTACATGAATGTTTCTACCAGCATTATTCATAATAGCCCGAAGATGGAAACAACCCAAATGTTTGTCAATGGATAAATGGATAAACAAAATGTGGTAGAGCCATACAATGGAATATTATTGACCAATTAAAAGGAATGAAAAACTGGCACACGCTACCACATGGATAAACCTTGAAAATATCAAACTCAGTGAGAAAAGTGAGACACAAAAGGTCACATATGATTCCATTTATATGAAATATCCAGAATAGGTAAACCTACAGAGACAGAAAGTAGATTAGTGGTTGCCAGGGACTGGGCATGGAATGGAGGAATAGAGAGTGACAGTTTAATGAGTCTGAGATGATGAAAATGTTTTGGAACTGGAAGGAGGTGATGGTTGCACAACCTTACAAATGAACTAAATGTCATTGAATTATATGCTTTAACATGGTTAATTTTTTATTATATGAATTTCATTCTAGTGAAAAAAAAGCAAACACACAACAAAAACAATTGCAAAGAGGGAAAGTAATAGACTTGAGAGCCCTTCATAAGGAAGAAAGGGCAGAACATGGTGCAGGTGGGATGCGGGAGGTGAGGGAAAGGGAGGCGCTGAGGATGAGACCAAGACATGGACCTTGGGTGGGTGGTGGATGAGGATTCAAAGGAGATAAACAGTTGTTTGGGGAGGGGAGAAGGCAGGCAAATATGAGGCCAGTCGCTGACATGTTGAACCTGAGTTGTCTCTGGGAGACTGAAAGGAAGATTTCTAGTAGGTAGCTAGAGATGTGCATCCAGAGAGA